AGACTGGTTCCAGACCCTCCGCGACCTCCAGCGCCGCGCGTTGGTCGAGCTGGATGCTGTCACCGCGGCCGTGCACGACGCCAACCACTACTGCACCTCGGCCATGTACCCGATGGCATGCGAAGTCGGCATCCCGAGGCCCGCGCGGCGATCGACATTGGCGTTCGCTTCGGTCGTCGCCAAGCGCGCGCCCGAGCCATCCGACCGATGCAGTCGCCTCCGCGCCGTCCAGCACAATGTTGAGCAGCACTGGACAACCTTGGCGTCGGCGCTCTCGCTCGAGGCGGCGACCAATACCGACCAGCACGACGTGCTCTTTGCCATGGTGCACGGCGTCTCGATGACGGCCATGGTGGCGCGCGCCTGGCAGAGTCTACAAGCCGTCTTTGACGCTGCAGCGGCGCGCTGGGAAGAGCGGCCGGAGCCCACGCCCACGCAGCTCTGCGACGCGATCGTGGCCAGCGGCAAGGAGCAGAATCGCCAGCTGCAGGCACACGTCGATGCGTGTATGGCGGCGATGCAAGCGATGGAGACGCGGTACACGGCCGCGCTGGAGGACACCAAGGCCGCCAACCACGCACTGGACGCCAAGCTCAGTGAGGTGCTCATGTTGCTGCGTGGAAAGGTTGTCGAGGGATTTTGACCAATTTTGACATGGATTGATGTTGCGACTCTTTTGATTCGCCGCTTTCTAAATATTTTCAGCGAATCACAAGCGACTTGTTCTGCGGCTCGGCGAAACCAGGGCTTGCGATGGCTGCCATGGCACTCAAAATCGAAAGCGCTGAAACTTGGATAGATGATAGAAGACACGTTGGAGAGCACGAAAAGCCATGTCACGTCGGCGTTGGAGGCGGAGAGCAAAAGTTGTGCAGGGATTTGTTAATAGTGGTAACGACCATATTTAGATGTTGACTGCCACATGTCGCCATATTTAGCCAACACTTCGCCACAAACGATGGTGCCGTCGCACGGACAATCCAGTCCACCAGCGTTTATGGCCGCGTGAGACGTACTCGATGGGAGAATAGTATTTGGGCTCTTTACGTAGTGCTAGTCCATAGGCAAAAGTGTACCACGTGCATGCGTACCAGTGGGTGCGATTGACGCCATTCGGAGTCATGCCCGCCAACGACTCCAAAGCGGGGGTCACGTTGCTGTAGGCAAGTAAACGACGCAAAAGAGAAGAAGCACGTGTCCAAGACGTTATCTATGCTTCGTCGTCGCTCGAGTAGTCGTCGGTGCTCGGGCCAAAGCGCTTGGACGTGTAGTTGGTGTACGTCAAAAAGTGATTCGAGAGCTTCGACTCGAACGTCGGGACGAACCCCGACGGCGTGAACCCGAGGTCCTTCTTCATATCCTTGCGGAGAATGCTCGCTAGTCGAGTGTAGAAAGTCACAAAATTGCGAAAACAAAACACTCGGTGTCATACCTGTGATGAATGCGTTGGGGGTGAGAATGACGTCCTTGGCCCCGTCCCGCTTCTCCGTCTTTTTCGAGAGGAGACGCATCGTGTCGGCAAACTTGGACATACAGTTGGTGTTCTAAAGTCGCATCAGACACGAGTGTCATCGAGTCGGTCGTACGAGGTATGGTGGGTCCACGAGGACATAGTCGAAGAAATGGTGGAACTTGGCGTCGACATCAAGCGGCGAGTTGTAGTCGTAAAAGGCAAACTCGTCCGGGTACTTGTCCTGGAACCGGTGGTCGTACTCGAAGAGGAACACGTTCTTGCGCTCGGGATGCAGCGCCTAGTCCCGTTTGTAGCTGTTTCAAGATGCAAGAGTGCTACCTTGAGCGCCTTGAAGGCGGCAGGCGTGCTTACAAACGCGATGGGGCCGCCGTTGCTGTGCTCCATGGCCTCGAGCGCGAGCGCGTCGCCCGTCTTGGTGTCGTACCAGCTAGTCGCACTTCATCAGTTATTGCAACAAGCGCGACGACAGTACAATTGGGAGAGGCGAAAGTCTTCCGAGACATCGTTGTCTTCGTCGAGCTTGGCCGCCGTCAAGTGCGCCTGGAGCGCCGCGAGCGTCTCCGCCGAGAGTTCTGCCGAGAGCAAGTCCATTGTCGTCTCTCGTCGCACACGTAGAAAGGTCGATGGCCAGGAATGACTGGGCAAACTGAGTCGACCAATGGCATCGCAGCGATGCTGAAGAAGCAGCCAATCAAACGCGTGCTGCAGCCTTTCCAGTATGCACGATGCGATGGCGCAAAGGAACGCTGCCAAGAGCCCTTGATGACACTAAACCACTGAAGCGACGCTTAATAGGAGGCGTTGTATAGTATGTAGCTCTGCTGGTTGTATCATCCAAGCGGCCAACGACCGTCACGGCCTTTTGCAGCGACCAAACGACGACTGGCACACGATCCTGCCTGCGTGCGGCTTGTGCATCAGTGGAGATGCAACAAACTAGGCTCCGTTGCTTCTTAAACCCAGCAAACTTCTTGTAGATCTTGTTGGTTTTGAGTGAAAATGTGCGCTCGGTCGACTTTCTTGGCAAAAGCGTCCGCTACAGCGTCTTAAGCACAGGGCTTTCCATTCATTCCCACGACAAGAGACCATAGTCACGTTGCCACGAACGTGTCTTGGCGAGGAAGAGATAATTCGCCATTCGTCTTTCATTTTCTACTCGCTCTGAGCTCCTACAGACCAGCAGGAGTACTCCCCGTGACCCATGAAAAGTCCCATGAGCCCATGAGATGGATACCAGTACGCAGCGACAGGCGTTCTTGGTTGCTAGGCATGTGGTCGTTGTTGACGACACGGCGTCGATCGCCCCAGCACTTGGCTGGGCGATTGTGCTCGTTCATGTTCGAGTCGGATGTTGCGTAGCACCGCCACAGGTAGTACTAGCTTACTACCCAAAGCCTGTGTTGACGAGGCGAAAACGCCATCGTCCGGACCTTTGGGGAAAGCACATACCAGAACATGGAATAAATAGCAAGGGTACGGGACGCGCGCCTATGAATATGGCCTTTGATTGGCGTGTTGCAGAATCATCGGCGTCCTTTTGCATCGCAATATGTCCTATACACTCATGCCCAGTTTCGCCACGCGATATTGGCTCGTGAGTGTACCCGTCTCGGTTCGCTGCAAGGCAGTGGCAGCGTGGTGCCCGTTGAAGGCGTGGCACTGCCACGGCTTCAACTTCTATAGGGGTCATGCGGTGCTGCCACGTCATGCAGTGTGAAACGTCCGAAACCAAGCAACCACGATGGTCACGCAGAGGGCAACCCTTCGAGACGCATCGCCCCAGCGTTCCCATCGCGGGGCGCGCTTCATACTGGCTCATAACACTCTCGCTTGGACGATGAGATGCCTGTGACGATATACATGTGACCCAAGTTTCGATCTCTGACAGTGTGAACCATGAACAGCGCTTGCAATTTTCTTGAACTTGCGTGGAACATTTCGCTTGCTTATGCAAACGCATGTACAACGGTAGGCTTACTTTACCATGCGCGCCTTGCATGCTTGACACGGCTTGTTTGTGCCTTTTAAATATCGATCGCTCATATTGCTTGGCTGGGCGCTGTTACTTCGTGGAATGGACGTGGCTGCCGTCGCTCGGTGAATCCATCAACTATCCATGCTTTCTTCTTTCGTGACGGGTCGTCCCACAAGACGGCAGGTGCTTGCGACCAGATTTGTCCGACCATGATGACGTGCGGGACGCCAACGCTCCTACCCTACAGCTCCATGGGGCTTCTCTCGAACGCCACACATCAGCAGAAATCATCATCTCCTACGACACGGCCCGACACCAATGGTGACAGACACCAGGGGTGGTCGAGGTACCAGTAGCAACCCATGGAATAACGTTATTCCCTTGGTAAAAACGCTCGTACCAGTACATCTGGAGCCTGCTTCCTCACGTCACGCTACTCGCACCATGGAATCTGTCCAGTGCGAACGACGGCGAACCCATGTGAAAATCATGTGAGGTTGCCGTTGGCGCGTTGCGAATCCCACGTCCGTGATGGCGACATCAAGACCACATAGCCTTCAAACGCATGGGGAAGGGAGGGGAGCCGTCCAGAATTGCCCGTTGTGGGCTCTACACGTACACGTAGCGGCGAGCTAGGATGCTAATACTCGCTCAGGTACGCAGGATGCAATCGCCGCCGTGCTTGTTGAAGTGCCACCGGTTTCGGGTGGGATTTATGAAAAACACGCAAAAACCACGTGCGTGAAAAACGAGGTATCCATTCGCAGGCGACGAGCCAGTCCGATTCGCGCTTCGTCCGGGGCAAGAAGATCCGACCATGCTCCTTAGCCGGGCCGAGCAGCAGCAGCGCAGCAGCAGTCGCTACGAAGTGAGCGAAGAAGGCTACGAGAGCGTCAAGTCGCCCGTGGCGCCGCCGCTGGAAGACGGCGCGCTGCGGCCGGGCGGCCCGCCTGTCTACACGAGCGCGCCGGTGCTAGGTCTCCTCGCGCAGTACGTGTGTGTCGGGCTGCTCTACGGCGCGCTTCCGAGCCTCTCGTACCCGCTCTTCACGGCCTACTTCCGCCTCAGCGGCGCGCGCTTCAACGCGATGACGGCGCTGCTCTCGATCGGGTGGTCGCTCAAGGTCTTTGTGGGCATGCTCTCGGACTGCGTGCCCATTTGCGGCTACCGGCGCAAGTCGTGGATGATGGTCGGCTGGACATTGTGTCTCGGCTGCATGCTCGCGCTCGCCTTCCAGAACCACGGCCCGCCCTACATTGACAACCCCGCCCTCGCACGGCGCAACATCAACACGCTGACGCCATCGGAGAAGGCCGCGTTTGTGCATCCCGATGCGCAGCGCCGTGGGTCGATGATGGCCATCATCTTTGGCCTCGCAACGTTCTGCTACATCATCGCCGACGTGCCGTCCGATGCGCTCGTGGTCGAATTCGCCCAGCGCGAGCCCGAAGCCACGCGCGGGCGCATGCAGTCACTGGTCTACACAACGCGGACGGTCGCGTCGGTCCTTGCACAGGTCGTCATTGGCGTCGCGCTCAACTCGCCTGCGTACGGCGGGACGTTTTCGTGGGACATGGGGCTTCATACGCTCTTTGTGTTGCTGGCGCTTCCGTGTGCAGCCATGGTGCCCATCACGTACTTCTTCATCGTCGACACGCCGCTGCCGCGCGTGCGATTTCGCGACTACTTGGATCAGTTTTGGCGCCTCCTCATCCAGCGCGCGACGTGGCAGGTCATGCTCTTCAACTTTTTCTTCAACCTCTTCGCGTCCGGGATCACGTCGACGGCCGCGCCGTACGTCAAGCTCACGTGGGCCGGCGTCGAGAACATCAACATTCAGCTCATGACGATTCTCAGCAACTTGCTCTTTGCCGGCGCGCTTGCGGCAACCGGGCGCTGGGGCACGATGTGGAATTGGCGCTTGGTCATTGTGACAACGACGCTCGCGATGAACGCGATTGACGCAGTCGTGCAGTACCTCACCATCTACAATGGCATTCGGAACCAGTGGTTCTACCTCGGCGTGCCATTGGCCGAGCAGCTGCCGTACGCCATGCAGTTCATCGTGACCACGTTTGTGATCGTCGAGCTTGCCGAAGTCGGCAACGAAGCGGTGACCTACGGCCTCCTCACGACGGTCAACAATCTGCCCACCGCGTTTGGCCCGCTCCTCGCCAACATCATTTTCGGGTCGTTTGATGTCTCGAACGAAGCCATTGCCGCCGACTCGGACGCGACGCGCCACCAGGTCGCGGCGACTTATGCCATCTACTATGGCACGACCGTCGTCGCGTGCTTCTGGGTTGTGCTGCTCCCGCGCAGAAGGAGGCCGTGTACGACTTGAAGGCCTACGGCGGGTACCAGCCGATCATTGGCGGCCTCGTGGCGGCCGGCATGGCGGCGTCGCTAGTCTTTTCGCTCGTCGTGAGCGTGCTCTCCATGTTTGATGAAACGTCGTGCTTGGTCGTCGCCGGTGGCTCTGGGTGCCCGTAGCTGTCGTCGTGCCCGATGCTAGAATCTACTACTGCTAATTGCACAGCTTTATATATACAAGTGTACACACCTTTGTCCATGGACGAATGTGGTCGTGGGGTCGTCTAGCTATCTACGATTGAGAATTCCGACACAATGAAAACACGAGACCTTGGCTGCGCCTCGGCAAGGATGCCTTGGACGTATTACGCTCGTCCTCCGCACTGGTGAGGTTGGGTAGACATACTACACGAGTGAAGAATGTTGCAGGTAGATGTTTAGTGGGGGTAGAGGTAGGTGAGCTTCACAAGAGATGAGTGCTTGGCCTTCGAAACCTTTCAGAAGCTGTAACAAGAATATGAAAAAACACGCCGAAGTGTGGAAATCAGTTTTTACACTGATTAGAACAAATACTACACTTGACCTTAGCCAAAAGGCCGACGCCGCGCGCCGCGTACGTCTTTCGCGTCACCGTCGTTCGCTAGCTTTTGCACGTTCGCCACTAGAGTAGTGAATAAGTCCTGTGACTCCGGAATACATACTTCTCCAATTAAAATTGGACACGTTGGCATCAGGCGATGCCACCCAAAACGAGTCGAAATGACAAACGCAACGTCCTTTTCTTGGACGACACCAGAGTTGTCGTCGACAGGTCCCGCAACGTCTTTCATCAACCACGCGACGATCACAACCACATCGCACTAAGCCTCGCTAGAGACTGCTAGCCCTACTCCTCAATCAAGACGGAATTACTTGGGGGCAACAACCGTGTTGATGTCCGCCATGCCGGTGGTGGGCGAGGCGGGTCAGTTGTTTGAATTACACTTCCAATTTGGAAATGGCTTGAGCTCGTTTGCTCTGCGCCTGGATGCTGGTTCGTGTGCGATCTTGGAAGCGGTCTTTGTAACCAGTGCACGTGTTGCCCTTGACCGGGTTGGTGCATGGGACAAATGGTGTAGGCGCATCGGGAGACCGCCGTCTCTCGGAAGCGCGGCCAGGACATCGGGTGGGATTGGCATGTTTGCGGTTGCCACCTGCGCCGCGTCCGTGCGTGGCCTTTTGCTTGCCTCCGCCAAGCGGCTCGACGCCCTTCGTCGGATCGAGATAGCTGGTCGGGGGTGCCGAATCGCGGAGCGCGTGCTTGAGCACCCGTAGGAAGAGGTTTTGGTACGCGGGTCCTTCTGTGGCGAACGTTGTCGGGAAGCTCGAGATCGACGCGACGACGCTTGCGTTGCCATTGGCTGCCATCGCTAGGAGGGTGCCGAAAGCCGCGAACCGCTCGTTGAACCACTGTAGCACTATCGTCGTTGCACTGTCGGGAAAATCGTCGGTGTCGTCGAGAAGTTCCAAGGCCAGAGCGAGCGCGGCCTCCACCACAGCCACAAGGATGTCGGAACCGAACGTGTTGGCATAGGCGAGCAAGGCGTGCAGCGCTGCACGGATGTTGTCGATGGTGCAAAAGTTGTGTCGTGGCTTAGGTGGGGTCAGGCTGACGGGGAAGTGACTCAAGCTGACGCGTGCGTCGTCGTTCCACACACTGCGGAGGTTCTTCGACAACGGGAAAAATGCGCCAAGGAGAGCATGTTGGAGCCAAACCGCCAGTCGAACAGATAGACGAGGGTACCGGGGTGCGGAGGGAACCGGATCGCTTCGCACCTGGCGACGCTTGCGAGGAACTCCATCGGCATCGCCGTTTGGTATTGTGCGTTGGTGATCCACCAATGTACCTCGGCCTGGGCTGGTGAGACTCGGAGAGCGCTCTTAGGACCCGACGCGACCTCGGTATACTGAGCGAGCGTTCGGGTGGCAGCGGCGCGGCTTCGAGCGCGGTGCTCGCGCTGGTACTCCGCTGCGAACGCAGCGACGGGAGGCGCAATGCCGCCGTGGCCCGGGATGCCCGCGTAGGTGGCGGCACCTGCCAGTGTCGGATTTGTTACCCTCCGCGTGCCAGAGAGTTGCCGCGCCCGGTGCCACGTTGTGTCGTGTGCAAGGTCATCTGCATCCGTGTCGGTTGTCGCTGCCTCACTCGCCACGCTGGACAGGAACGGGTTGATTAGCGACGGACTTTTTCCATCGCGACGTGGAGGAAAGGCGACTGGCTGCGGACCCGCCGCGTGCTCCGAGGCGGAGACGACTGGCATAGGCGACTGCACAGCGGTCGCTGTCGCGGCCTCGTCCAACAACGACGACGAATCGATGCCGGAGTCGGAAGGGTCGTGGCAGAATGACTCGCCGAGCTCCACGATATTGGGGTCGTTGGCACCGCCGTCGGCGTGAAAGGTAAAATCGACGATGTGTTGGACGGACGGGCTGACCAAAAGCCCCGAGCGCGGGTCGCAAACGATGCGTCGCAGCGTACCCAAATTGACGGCGTTGTGGACGTCGTAGCCGGCCAGGATGGCGGCAATGTCGCGTGATGGAGCCTCCAGATCCGTTTGAGGGCGGATACGGTGCCAGATGCGCCGGTGGCACTCCAGGAGAGCCTCCATGGTGAGGCCCGTAGCGCTGCGCGGCGCGTCGTCGTCGAGGGCGGACCAGTCGGTGTCCCATAGCAGCGCTGCCACGACTGGAAGAACGAGGGCGACGGCGTCTTGACGCATTGTGAGCCGTCCACGGTGGGTCCTGACCTGGATCGATCGTGACGCATGGTCGGCGCGGCACACTTGCCCGAGCACCCAGTTGTCCACGACGCGGGCGACGACAAAACGCCGCATGAGTCGGTGGGTGCCCGCGTCGCGTTCCGCGGCGGTGACGACCGGAAACTGCTCGTTGCTCGCTGCGACCGGGAGCGATAGTTGATCGGTAATGGACTCGTCGGGTGTGACGTCAATCACCAAACGGCGTCTCGAGCGGCGTACCGTGCCATAGGCCACCGTTGAGATGTCGTCGACGAGCAGGGAAACGCTTTCTGGGTAAATGCGGACGATGTCGCCGGGAGAAAGCATGGTGCGTGTGGAACGTAGTTATTTGACTGACACTACCAATTAGGTAATGGCTTGACCTCGTTTGCTCTGCGCCAGGATCTTGGATCGTGTGCAATCTTGAAACCGGTCTTCTGGATCTTGGCCAAAAGGCCGACGCCGCGTACATCTTTAGCGCCACCGTGTTCTGGATCCGTGTCCTTTCAACATGAACCTCCACCACGAGGCGCGAATACTTGGCAACCAATACGAACCCGCGACTCCTCTATGCGCCCTTTTCGATATTAGAACAAAGTCCATAGCTCCGTAAGCTTTTCATACCGACTGTCAACGCTCTCGCCCAACAAGTGAGAACACACCGTCGTTCGCTGGCTTTTGCACGTTCGCCACTAGAGTAGTGAATAAGTCCTGTGACTCCGTAATACATACTACTCCAATTGGACACGTTGGCATCAGGCGATGCCACCCAAAACGAGTCGAAATGACAAACGCAGCGTCCTTTTCTTGGACGACACCAGAGTTGTCGTCGACGGGTCCCACAATGTATTTCATCAACCACGCGACGATCACAACCACATCTCACTAAGCCTCGCTAGAGACTGCTAGCCTCTTTATGCAAGACGCTACATCATTGTGGGTATCCTCAAAGTAGTGTCGACCAGAATTGTGTAGTTTTACACAACGACGAAATATCCTTTTGCAATATATAAACGTATGTATTCATCATCCTAGTCTATCTATCCGTCGTCTTGTTTACCGCTTGGTGTGGTTGATGTAGCGCAGCGCGAGCATGGCGAGGACGCGGAAGAGGACAATGCAGCCGAGCACGACGAGAATGTCCAAGAGCGCGTCGTCGTAGTACATCTCGTACGTAAACTCAATGTACTGCTTGACGCTGATGCTGGTCGCGTTCATCTGCTGGAGGATGCTCGGCGGCACGTTCTGCATTGTCTGGCACCCGAGCTGCGTCGGATCGTCGCCCGTGCACTTGGCAAACGTCTGCGACGTCAGAATCGCCATCGAGTACTTTGGCGGCACGATCGTGTAGAGCCAGCGGTACCCGCTCGGGATCTGCGACGCGGTCGGCGTAAAGCCCATGAAGAGGAAGAAGATCGAGTTGAAGAGGATGCCGACGAGCGCCGCGACCTCGACCGACGGCATCGCGTACGCCATCAACTGGCCCATGTAGACGTTCATCAAGACCATGAGCGAGAGGTTGAAGCCGTAGTAGACGCACGCGCCGACCGACTCGTTCAAGCCGACGAACGGGTAGTAGATGATCGTAAAGAGGAACGTCGTCACAAACACGTACGGGATCTCGGCGAGCGTCGACCCGACAAAGTACCACAGCGCATTGTACGTCTGCGACGCGCGCTCGCGGTAGAACGACGCGCGCTCTTCGCCTGCGAGCGGAATGACGCTGTTGAACGAGATCATGCCCACAAAGAGCGACGTGAGGAAGATCATGCCGACGCCGCCGGTCGCGCCCGAGAACGTCGTGTAGTCGACACCGCGGTAGACCAAACCAAAGAGGACGGCGAGGAAGACCGAGATGAAGATGCGCGTGTTGTTGTACGACGGCGTGCGCCAGTACATGCGGAAGAAGCGCTGCGTCACCATCTTGAACTGCGTCGACGACGACGCCGCACGCTTGTTGGCAAACGTCAGCTCGGGCAGCGACGGATGGACGTTGGCGTGAATCGCAAGCGCCTCGGCCAGCGACCGGCGCTCCTCCGACGCGTTGAAGATATGTACATAGTCCTTTGGGTGCGCGTTCTTGGCCTCGACGCCGGCGCCAATCACCTCGAGCATCCACGTCGCGGGGTTGGCGTCGTCCGAGAGCGCCGGCGTGTCCGGGATCGACGTAAAGTACTCGATCAAATGGCTTGCTTTCGTGCCAAGGTCGCCAAAGAAGACGGTCTCGCCACCGCGCTTGAGAAGGAGGAGCGAGTCAAACATCTCAAACACCTCGGCCGACGGCTGGTGGATCGTGCAGACGACGGTGCGACCCGTGGAGGCAATCTTGCGGATGCCCGTCATGATGATCTTGGCCGACCGAGCGTCGAGGCCGGACGTCGGCTCGTCGAGGAAAAGCACCGACGGCGCCGCCGCAAGCTCGACACCGATCGTCAGGCGCTTCATCTGCTCGACCGACGCGCCACGAATGATCTTGTCGCCGAGGGCCTGCATGTCGAGGAGCTCGAGGCACTCTTCCGCAAACGCCATCTTCTCGGCGGCCGGGATCTCATCGGACTGACGCAGCATCGCACTAAACTGGAATGCCTCACGGAACGTCGCGCTCTCGCTGTGGATGTCCATCTGCTCGCAGTAGCCCGTCGACCGCCGAATCGCGAGGTCCGTGGCCGGGTACCCATTCAGAAGAATCTGACCTTCGATCTTGCCGCCCGTCTTGCGACCGGCAATGACGTCCATCAAGGTGGTCTTGCCTGCGCCGGACGAGCCCATGAGCGCCGTGATCGTACCCGGCAACGCAAAACCGTTGATACCCTTGAGCAACTGGAGGTCCGGCTCGCCCTTGGTCGGGTTGGGCACCGAGTACCAGAGGTCTTGAAAGGCCAGCGTCACCGGTGTGACCGACCGGTGGCTGGCCACCGTGACGGCCACGGCATTCGCTGGCGTCTTGGGCGCCTCGACGTACACGTTCGTCGCCTTGTTGCCGTCCGTGTCGCGCCACACGACCTGGTCATCCTGATCGCCATCGTCCTCGACCAGCACCGAGTGCTCGGCCGTGTCGTACTGCACGTACTCGAGCGCGAGATAGGCGAGGAGCATGAAGAAGACGTAGCACACGGCGAGGTAGAGCACAGCGTACCAGATCCAGACCGTGTCGGTCTTGAGGCCAAACTGCTGCAGCTGCGCATTGCCAAAGGTCTGGCCCGTGCGCGCGCAGTAGTCGATGCCCTTGTACTCGCATTGCTGAAACTCGGACGCCGCGTACTGGTTGATGGCCAGTGCGCGGATGCACCACGCGAGCGGGTCGATCCAGTAGATCCACACAAAGTAGTCGGGCATGTCGGACGACGACATGATAAAGCCGGAGAAGAGCACGTAGAAGAGCACCGACACCATCGAGATGGGCTGCGCGACGTTGAGGTTGGGCGAAATCGACGCGAGGAAGAAGAACCACGTCGTGAACGCGAGGTTGGTCACGAAGAGCAAGAGGAGGTACGTGAGGAACGCGCCGAGATTGGCCGTGAAGCCCGTGACCCAGTACATGACCGAGCCAAAGAGAATCGTCTCCAGCAATGCAAACGGGACTTGGGTCGTGCACTGCGCCAGAATGAACGACGACGTCCGAAAAAAGTGGGCGGCCTTTTGCTTGTAAAAGATCTCGCGCGCCTCGACGATCGCGGGAATCGTCGGCAGCTGCCCGAGTGCGAGGAAGAGCACCGTGGTAAAGATGACGCCAAGCACCGTCACGATCTGGTCGACGTCGACTTGGTAAAACGACGTCGAGTAGAGAAAGCCCATGACGAGCACCATGATGATGCGACTCACGACAAACTCCTTGTTGCGGAGAAAGACCGTCACTTGACGATGCACGAGCGCCTTCGTGCTCGCCGCGAACGGCACGTGGTACGCCGGCAGCGCTGCGAGGTGCGAGGTCGCGTCGTCGACGAGCACCGGGTCTGTCGGCGTCGAGAGGTGACCGACCATGGCGCCGTAGAGCTGCGACTCCTTGAAGAGCTCGGCGTACTCGCTCGGGAGGCGCGGCGTGCGCGCATACACGCTGTTGGACACGAGGTACTGGTCTTGCTCGGGCGTGCCGAGGTCGAGGAGAAAGTCGGCGACGTCGCGATGCACCGGGCACTTGAAGCCGAGCGACTCGAAATACTGCAAGCAGAGCGCGCGCGGACCGTGGTACATGACGTGGCCTTCGTTGAGGAGGAGGACGTCATCAAAGAGGTTGTAGACTTCGGGCGATGGCTGCAGCAGTGCAATCACAATCGTCTTCTTGAGCGACGCAGCCATGCCTTTCTGCGCCTTGACGATATCGTAGGTTGCCGCCGAGTCGAGGCCCGTGCTGATCTCGTCCATGAACGAGACCTGCTTCATGCCAAACTCCATCTCGCCGACGGTCACACGCTTGCGCTCGCCGCCCGAGACACCGCGGAGCATGCCGTTGCCGACGATCGTGTCTTCGCAGATCTTGAGACCCATCTGGCGCGTGATAATGTCCGGGTAGACGTGGTACAGTGACTGGATCACAGCCTTGGCCTGCGCGTTCTCTTGCGGCGAGCCATGCACCAGCGAGTCGAGGACGCGGGGAGGGACGGCGGCGCCACCGCTGCACGCGTGGGCAAAGGCCAGCGTCTCCTTGACGGTCAAGGTCGGGTAGTTGAAGTCGCGCTGGCTCACGTACGATGCAAACTGCGGCAGCTTGTTGCCGACGACCTCGGACGCCGCGCCGTTGTACGTGACGTGGCCGCCGATCGAGATGTCTTTTGCATGGGAAAGCGACCCGAGAGGAGCTTCATGAGCGACGACTTGCCCGAGCCGGGCTGGCCGAGCACGAGCGTCGTCGTGCGCGGCTTGAAGACACCGGTCATCGGGTGCAGAATGTCCTTGCGGATCGAGCGCTTGGCGCTAAAGAGGCCCAACACACTCTTCTTGACGTCGTTGACCAAGGTCGGGAGTTCGTGGCCGTCCTTGGTCGCCACGACCACGTCGGCGGCGATCGAGAGGTCCTGGAATCGGATCTCGAGCTGCGGCAGTGCCTTGCCCATAGAGGCTTCGAGCTGCGCCGCCAGTGTCGCATGGAAGGCGTCCGAGCCGTCTTGCAGAAAGGCGTCCGCGGTGGTTGCCATGGTGCAACCATGAGGAAGGAAATCCAAGTATGGACTCTCTACTGATGGCGCTGGTTGGTCGAAGGATCCGGCATGTCAGCGACGTCCCGGGACATGGGTGCTGGTCGCGCCATGATCGTGGTATCGACCTAAAAACGTGGCAGTCTGCGCGCGTCGATGATGAACCGAGCCCGATTCGTCACCAAGTATCCGCTCCCACCGTATCCGGCGAATCGGATCATCCGGATTATGTCCGGATACGAAGTGGGCACGGGATCCCGCGCCAGCCATCATCATCGTCCTGTGAAGGTGCTGCGCGTAAGACATGAAGAGCTTAGGTAGGAGGACCAACGTCTCGGTAGACATTGCTGCGAATCCCTCGCTGGCAATCGAATCAGCTGCGTTGACGCCGCTACGGGCTTCAAGTTGTATGACGGACCGGGCTACAGCTTATGTTAAAACCAACCCAGGACCTTCCAAGTGGGACAGGTATGGATCGGTTGTGTAGTCTGTCGTGGGCGCGTCCAGTCGAACGGCCACTCGAATTTGACCAGAAAAGCTGGCGTGGACTGTACTTCGTCCTGCGCCACGATCGTTCACAATTAACGATCGAGACGCCGGCACTGGGGGTTGAACCGACCACTTTTTACATGCCAAGTAGGCGTGTATCGCTGGGAGAGAAGGTCGCCAACGAGGTGTGCGAGCCACCAGCACACACCACTGGCCCATTAACAGTAGTGCGTGGTCGTCGTCTGTAGGGCACGATAGATTGGACCTTTCAACTCGTAGAATGGTCTAAAACGAAGCGTGTTTCGGTGCATCTTTGCCAGAGATCTCTACAGCATTCGCCGCTGGAGCATGCTAATGAGGACCGAGATCATGCCGCCGAGGAGGACGCCGGCAATTTCGGCCTTGTGCTCTTGCAACGTCGCCTGCACGCTGCGCAGCGGCGCTTCCCACGGCTTGGGGAGGCGCAGGGCGGTCGCACGCGGCAGCGACAGCGGGAGCTGCGCATGCTGGTGGGCGAGAAAGCCGAAATGCATGTCGGCCACGGCGTTCAGAAGGCTGAGCTCAATGTCCGGGTCTTCGTCTGGCTTTTCGAGCACGCAGTCGCCGTCGCGCGTGATGAGCCACACTTGGTGGAAGCGCGACTTGAGCTCGTTGGCAATCACCTAGTATTACCACATCCTATGGGAATTTGCATCTGGTAGGGTCGAGCAGCGTACGAGGTGCATGCCATAGTTGGCGATCGAGGTCTGCGCCTTTTGATGCAAGATCGTCACGTCCGTCTCCAGCTACACGTCGTCGTCTTCATTCTCTCTGCATCTCGGAGAAGACCGTACCTTGAACGAAACGTAAAAGGCGTGTGGCGCCCACTCGTACCGAAGCAGCCCGAGAAGCTTGGGCACGTGCTGCAGCGTCAGTGTCAGCGCGTCGTTGGCGTGCGACGGCGTCGATTGGATCTTGTGCTCGACCATCTCGGAGGCCGGAATGTAAAAGTCGCTCACGGCGGCCGCCAAGTAGAACATGGCTCGCTCGCCGAGCGGCTTGACGGCACTGGCGATCGCGCGGAGGGCAAAAAGTACTCGTCGACCGAGACAAACGCGACCGGGCATAGCATCGTCTGCTGCATCGCTTGCTTGTAGCTCTTGAGCGCGTCAATGCAGCGCGCTTGCGAGACGCGGTCTTCGCTCGTGATCTCGATCGACTTGCCGTCTGCGCATGTCGTCGTTGGTACTCATGTCGACGTATGGCATTGGTTCTACTACCTTTGGCCACATCCAGGTGCTTGAGCAAGCCCAAGTCGACGTTGTGCGACATGGCCTTCTACAGACAAGAGGTCAACGCGTTGAGATGGACAATGGTCGACGGGACCAACCTGAAAGTGGCGGGCGAACGGCATGACGCAGCCAGGACGGTGCAGAAAGATGACGGCGTACCCGAGCTTGACGAGATACCTACGCCGCCATGAGCCACATGTACGGCCATGGCCCTTTCATAGCGTACTCGGCGGAGGCGGCGCCTCGCGACCCCGTCGAGAAGTTGTCGATGAAGCGCACCGTGTTCTTCTCCAGCGGAATCGTCGTGCCGCCCGACGTCACGATCGCCACCGTGCGCCCGATGGTCTGCTGGTGCGCAACAAAGTCGGCGAGCGCGGCCTCCATCTCGGGCAGCGTCGATGGCGTCGGCGTTGAGTCAAAGTACGCGTCGGCGCGCTGGCGCTGGGCCTCGAGCTTCGCCACGTCCATCGTGTTGCGAGTTTTCCTGTGGCCGACGTCGATCCGGATACACGACACATATCCGAACCGCAACCTGCGAATGTGGCATAAAAGGCGGCATGCCAGTTTTAGCGATTTAAATGTGGCATATGCCATAGCAAAACGCCCCATGGTACCATCTCACGGGCCAACATCATCTTCTTCACTGCCGTTCTTCCAGCTGCGTTTCTTGGAGTAGAGAATGTACAGTAGGTTCTCATCCATCGACTCGTGCAGTTATCATCAATCAATCTTGTGGTGGTTGAAAGCTCGCTCGTGGTGCCACGTGTGGACACTGACACGCAATGCTGGTCACTAGTAGACAAGTTGTGCATCGTCCCAGCACCGTTACCCAGCGCGACCCACTTATATACCGCATCGAACAAGCAGCGAACAAGATGGACTTGCATATGCGAAAATGCGCTCCCTCGTGGCTCTACCTCGCCATGTTCTTGTGGCGTTGGCGTCGAGGACCGCGTTGCCCGTCACGCCGAAAATAAGATCGCATAAGATTCAAGTTCGGCATATGCCGAAACGGATCCATCGGCGTCTGATGAGTGGAGGCGTCAGTCTGTATTTTTCACCTCACGAAGATGGACATTCCCGCGTTGGAAGCTGCGATCGCCGCCAAGGCCGCCGAGATCCGCGAGCTCAAGGCCGCCAAGCAAGACGTCAAGGAGCACGTCGCTGCCTTGCTGAACCTCAAGGGCCAGTTCAAGGCGCTTGCCGGCTACGACCATGGCACGACGCCCGGCGCCCCCGCGGCCGCGCCCAAGCCCAAGCAGCTCACGAAGAAGGAGCTTCGCTTGTTGGAGCGCCAGAAGCAGGCCGTACGTCATAGCGCCAATTCCTGCATCACGACGATCTCACGGACCAACGGGCGTAGGAAGCGGAAGCTGCGGCCAAGGCCACGTCTGCCGACCCGACCAAGTTTGGCGACGCGCCGCTCATCCAGTCGCGCGAGGCGCCGACCAAGAAGTTTGTCGAGTACGTGATGGCCTCTTTGTGCCATTGCAATATACTGATGGGCAACCAATGTAGTGTCGGCGACATTGACAAGGCCAAGGCCGGCGAATCCTTTTGGGTCCGCGGCTACCTCCAGAACGTCCGCGCCAAGCCGAAAATCGCCTTCTTGGTCCTTCGCCAGGCCGCGTTCACGATCCAGGGTGTCCTCAGCGAGGTCCGTCATCGTTGCTTTCATACAATGGGGTACTCATGTCTAGTGTAGAGCCAAGACGTGCCCAAGGCCATGATCAAGTACGCCGATGAGATCCCGCGCGAGTCGGTCGTCGACCTCTATGTGACGGTCAAGGTCGCTGCCGTCGAGATCCACTCGACGACGCAGAAGGACGTTGAGCTCGAAGTCACCAAGGTGTTTACGATCAGCAAGGCGCTCACGTCGCTCCCGATGCAAATCGAAGATGCGTCGCGCTCGGATACGCTCCTCAACGCCGAGGGCTCCGACTACGTCGAGGTCGGCCTCGACACGCGCCTCGACAACCGGTGCGTTTGTTGTTCTCGCTTTTGGAGGACTTGAACCCACATCAATGCTAGTGTCTTGGACTTGCGCACGCCGGCCAACCAGGCCATCATGCGCATCCAGTCGGGCGTCGGCCAGCTCTTCCGCGAGTTCCTCTACTCGAAGGGCTTTGTGGAGATCCACACGCCCAAGCTCCTCGGCGGTGCGAGCGAAGGCGGTGCCAACTGCTTCTCGTTCAAGTACTTTGACCAGCACGCGGTCCTCGCCCAGTCGCCGCAGCTGCACAAGCAGATGGCGTGCGCCTGTGCCGGTCTTGAGAAGGTCTTTGAAATTGGCCCTGTCTTCCGCGCCGAAAACTCGTTTACGCGCCGCCACTTGTGCGAGTTCACGGGCCTCGATCTCGAAATGACGATCAAGGAGCACTACTCGGAGTGCTTGGATGTCTTCTCGGAGCTCTTCATCTATGTCTTTGACAACCTCAACTCGCGCTTCAAGCGTGAGCTCGACATCATCAACGAGCAGCACCCGTTTGAGCCGCTCAAGTACTCGAACCCGACGCTGATCCTCAAGTTTGACGAAGCTGTCGCGATGCTCAACGCTGCTGGCATTGATCAGGACCCGCTCGAGGATCTGAGGTATCGGATTCTCCAACTTGATACACTGATAGATTGCATCCCTCTAGCACGCCCAACGAGAAGGCGCTCGGTGACCTCGTCAAGGCCAAGTACGACACGGACTTTTACTTTTTGGACAAGTTCCCGCTCGCTGTGCGCCCGTTCTACACGATGCCCGACCCGACCGATGCGGTATTCGGAACCTGGTTTTTGAAAATGGCGATTGAGTTTGAGCTGTAGCGCTGGAGCAACTCGTACGACTTTATGATCCGCGGCCAGGAAATCTTGAGCGGGGCCCAGCGTGTGCACGACCCGACGCTCCTCGTCGAGCGCATGAACTCGCTCGGCGTGCCCGAGGCCGACCTCCAGACGTACGTCGATGCCTTCAAGTACGGCGCGTTGCCGCACGCTGGCGGCGGCGTCGGCCTTGAGCGTGTCGTCATGCTCTTCCTCGGCCTCGAGAACGTCCGCAAGGCGTCCATGTTCCCGCGTGACCCGGTACGTCGACGGCTTGTTGGATTTCAACGGGAGACTCATTAAAGCTGGTAACATGCGTAGAAACGCCTTCGCCCGTAAATGCTAGCAATCGCTACACCGTGCGCCTCGCAATACACGTCCTTTCTCCTTCTGACCTCGTATTCGCTGGCAGATTGATTCGCTCAAAAACGTGCACAAGTTGGCAAATGGGGTCCCCCGAAGTTTATTTCTTCCCTTGGGTGCATCACTCCGATTCGGATTGACAAGACGGCTTTGAGACCTCGTTGGACCGTGCGTCATCGACGGCCAAGTAATAGGTGCCTGGAACGAGCCTGTTGCTTCTACCCAACGCTAGCCCACTGAGATAGTACCATACTGTACTCCCAGACAGGCCATGCCGCCGATCCTTGCGCATTGCCGACTACCGACAGTCTGTCCTTGCGCATCGTGATCGCAGTGCATGCACAAGAGGTGGTGGTGACATGTAGAACTTGCTATTGCACAAGAGACTGACGTACAGCTACGGTGTCGTGTATCTTGGCACGCTAGACATCGAGGCGACCGACGTGCGCGATGGCCTGGTGCAGCACCGTGAGGCCGCGGTGGGCCACGTCGTGCTTCCACTGCGGGTCGTCGCGGAGGTAAAAGACGTCACGGAGTGCCTCAGCGGCGACCTTTCGATTCGCGGCGTCGTGCTGCGTGGCTGCGTTCTCGGCGCGGAGGGCGGCCAGCACCGCGAGCGACTGGACGGTGCCCATCTCTTGCATGACGGTGACCGTGCGAGCGGTTGGCGGAAACCACGTCTCGTAGCCCGCGACGGCGGTGCCACTCATGGCGTCGTAGCCAGAGAACGCTGCGTTGCCGTCGGGCGCTACATAGTCGGGAAAGAGGGTCGTGGTCACGCTTGGCACATCCTTGAGCACGCGCGACCCGACCGCGAGGGTGTCGGCGCCGCACGGTCCGAGACCCGTGTGCACGTCGAGCAGCACGGCATGCGTGATGGCCTCCAAGTCAATGTGGGCGGCGACAAAGGTCCGCAAGAGCGTGTGGCTGGGTTCAATGTGCTGGCCGCCGTAGCTCAAGCCGTGTGGGAAATGGTAGTTGCCCGAGACGACCGCGCGCTTCGCGGCCGTGTAGCCCATCGTGGCGATGATTTGGAGCATGCGCGGGTAAAAGAGGAACGGGAAGAGCACGGGCTCGCGCGGGTTGAGCGCGGGCTCGAGGTCCGCGTACCCATGGGCGTTCGGGTCGGCCGCCCGCTTGGCGGCGAACGCCGTCGCGCTCAAGTAGTTGCGGTTCAAGTCGACGTTGTGCTCGTTCACGCGCCGCAAGGCCGCAAAGCCATATGGATTGACGCCATGCACGAGCAAGATCGTCGGGCGATTGTTCTCATCGTCGGACAGCGCCGTGAGGTTGGCGAGAAAGGCCGACTGGATCGCGCTGCCTGCAAAGCCCTCGACGCCGTGCGTGCCTGAGAGATGCAGCACGAGGTGCGAGCTGCTGCCGCGGAGGATTGCCACGTCAATCGAGAGGTCGGCGTACGCCGCGTCGTCGACCGGGTACGGTATCGCGTGCAACTCGGCGCCGGCGTGGGTCGCCGCGTAGCGGAAGCGCATTCTCGCCTCCATGTAGTCGTCGGCAAAGTACGTCAAGTACGGCGAGTCCATCACGCCCTCAAAGCGTGACTTCCATAGCGTTCGCAAGACGATCGCGATGAGCAGCGCGGCCCATGTCCAGCGGTCGGCCATCGTCGGCGGTAGAAATAAATCTGCGTGCCACGTCGTCGTCTCCGCTTCGAACTTCGAGCACGCGCGGATTGGTCGATTCAACGTACACGAACTTTTGGTCATAAACATTCTTGACATGTCAAGAACCTTGGTAAAAATACCTCTCCTTGGACAATCATCCAGCGGATGGTCAACACCAAGCGGCGATGCGAACGCACGTGGCAACAGTACGGACGTCGCGGATGATATCTTTTAGACGATTTGACACATTCATTTGATGGCCAGTACTATCCCATGGTGCTACAGTATCCTATGCTACTAGCGTCTGCCCTTATTCGAGTTGCCGTGTCTTGAACCGCTGATGGCTGTTAAACCTGGTCATTTCGTCATCGACGAGATTGGCACTCGTCCATACGTCCTAGGCACGGTCTTCAGAGTGACGTGACGCTACTACGTTATCACCGCCTGCTCCTTGCCATCGAGGATCTTGGTCGCTTGGCATGAAGGATCGATCCAACGACCAAGGACGATGTTGACAGCGATGAGGTCGACAACTCTATTTTCCCGTGCATTGGGTTGTGCGCGCGCACGCCATGATGGTGCGAAGTATTGACAAGCAACATCCCTCCTGTAAACCGGTCGTGCTGGCTGACGACGTACGTACCATCAGCACGGGCGTGCATGCCCTCTATCCGTGTGTACAAGGCGCGTGTGACTTGTGAGAGATGTCGGCCTCTGCGTTGCTCCTCGCCGTCCACTTGTACCGGGTTCTGCTGCACGAGGCCCACTGCTCGAAGATCGCGCACGAGCCGCGCTTGTCCCAGGTCTCGTGGGTTGTGCGACTGGATTTCAGTATGGTGTGTCACCCACCGAAATGTTTCGACGACAAGGCGGCACGCAGTGTGCAAGTGGCGACGTCGACAGCATAGCATGGCGCGCACGGCCGCCTTTGTCGACTTTTCGGCCAACGCGTTCTACATATTTGTGTACACAACCCTCTATGCCTTCCTCTCGGTGCTCTTCCAGTGGTCCATTGAAGGTTCTTTCACAAATGATTGTATGAGGGCGCCAAATTGAAGTTGATTCCTCTAGGCGACGAGCACATTCCGAAAGACCCGTCGACGCGGATCCTCTTTGTGGGGTACCACACGACGCACAACTGGGACCTCCTCCTCACGGGCATGTCGCTCCGCGATGTCCTCGACGAAGCCCCCGTCGGGATCATGCACCGGACTCTCGTGGCCCTCAACCCATGGCTGCGCCTCCTTGGGGCGATCCAGGGCACGCGACAAAATGTGCTCGAGATGTACAACCGCGGTCACCGCGCGTGCATGGTGATCCCGGGCGGCGCCGAAGAAGCTGTTGCGGGCTTTGAACACGCCTACACGGTCGACTGGTACTACTGCGTTGAATGTGATGGGACGTGACCGAAAGCAGCTCGTTTGGATGCAACTAGGAAATCGTCTTCGGGCCGCGTGCGCACGGGGTTTGCCGAGCTAGCAATGGACGCCAAGTGCGTCATCGTCCCGGTCGTCGTCCAGAATGCCCAGGAAATGTGCTTCAACCCACTGTTTTACCTTGTGAACGTCACGAGACTCTCGCGCGCGTACAACCATTTGCTCACGCTGCCCTACGGCGTCGGGTGGGTCTTTCTCCAGCTCAAATTGGCTCTGTGGATCACGCTCACGTTCCCGACAAGTATCCCGATGCCGGTGAAAGCAACGCTCAAGTTTGGCAAAGCGCTGCGACCTCGAAAGGCCGAGTCGCCAGCAGCCTTTGCGCGGCGCGTCGAAACCACGTACCGAAAATTTCTGCACCGTGAGAACCCTGGTGGGCTCAACTACACGCGGGCGACGCAAGCCCGGTTTGCCACATCCCACACGCGCAAGATAACCTAATGCGAGAGATGACGTACGAGTCGCTTCACGAAAATATGCAAGTCGATTTTTGAATCGTCCGACCACAAAAAGAAAACACATGACGTGGCACGTCCCTGACGCAGACATATTGGCTGGCGCAAATTTATGAGTACGGTAGGTGGCAAGACTTTACGATCCCATGCAATCGCTATATCAGAAGTGGCTCGAAGCCGACATGGTCAAGCCCGTGGACTATACGTCGACGTGGCTCTACCGCGTGCTGTATACCTACCTCTACCCGCTCCTCGTAACCTGGTTTGGCTGGACAGTCAAAGGTACGCAGCGGAGACGCCTTGTCGCCCTGTCACCGTTCTAGGCCACGAGCATTTACCGAAAGACCCGTCAACGAAGATCCTCTTCGTGGGCTACCACACGACGCACAACTGGGATATCCTCATGATGGCGATGGCGATCAAGGATGCTTTGGGCGAGCCGCCAGTGGGGCTCATGCACTCGGCCTACGTGGCGCTCAGCCCGTGGGTCTCGTACCTTGGCGGCGTCGAGGGCACGCGTGCTAATGCCGCCAACGCCTATCAACGTGGCCACCGCGCCTGTCTTGTCCTGCCCGGTGGTGTGGAAGAAGCAGTCGCGGGATTTGAAAATGCGTACACCGTCAACTGGTTTCATTGCTACCATGGCGACGCAGCACATTCACGCGCGCTACTGTAGGAAGTCGGCGTCGGGGCGCGCCCGGACAGGGTTTGCCGAAGTTGTCCAGCAAGCCGGCGGTATCATTGTGCCCGTTGTCGTGCGGAACGCTCAAGAAATGTGCTTCAGCCCCATCTTTTTCCTCTGCAACATTTCGGGTCTCTCGCGCTTCTACGATACGCTATTGACGCTACCGCTTGGCATTGGCTGGCTCCTTTGGCAGCTCAAGCAAGTGCTGTGGCTGCTCCTTTCTTTTGGATCGAGCATTCCTCTGCCCGTGCAAGCCACGCTCAAGTTTGGCCCACCGCTGCAACCGCGTCGGCACGAGTCGGCGGCCGCCTTTGCCCACCGCGTCGCGTCGAGCTACGCCGCGCTGCTTGCCACCGAGCAGCCCGATGGTCTCAACTACACCCGCGCGCTCCACGAACGCTTCCGGAACGCGCGTTGTTGTCGCTAGTACGGTATGCCCTGTATAAACACTCCCCCAGAACTCTTCCCGATTCCTATCCGGATACATTACCGTATGTCATTTTTGCTCAAGGATCTTTACAATGTGTACAAACCATTGTACTTGACATTCTTGACGCGATTGTCAAGATTGACGACCAGATTGCCCTTTTTCAGAGTCCCATGCTGCAAAACAATAAAATCAATCTGCACCTGCCGTTCGACTATACCTCTCTTTTGTATGCCCTATGCAAATTAATAAAATGTACACGATTAAAATACTAAAAAAGAATTGCACACGTAGAAAAGCCAACGCAGAAAGGGACCATGCGTGTCGACCACGCTGCCTCGTGGCCGTATGCGCTGCTCTATGCGTACGTGTACCCGCTGCTCGTGTGGTTCTTTGCGTGGTCCGTCCAAGGTAGCTATAGCTCTGCTTGACAACGATGCCGATCACGTATACATACTATGCAGGCGACGAGCATCTGCCTGCGGACCCCACGCGCCGCATTCTCTTTGTGGGCTACCACTCGGACCACAACTGGGACATCATGATGATGAGCATGGCGATCAAAGATGCCATTGGCGAAGCGCCAATTGGGCTCTTGCACCGAACAATCATGCTCTTCCACCCGTGGCTGCGCCGCATGGGCTGCATTCCTGGGACCAAGGCCAACGCTCTCGCCGCGTACGAGCGTGGTCACCGCGCGTGCATTGTGCTTCCGGGCGGCGCCGAAGAGGCCGTCGCTGGCTTTGAGAATGCGTACAAGGTTGACTGGTATGACCCCTTCATCCCGCGCAAGAAAGTGGGCTGCAACGTCGTCTGCTTGTAGGAAGTCGACGTCGGGGCGCGCGCGCACCGGGTTTGCCAAGCTCGCAATCGCAGCCAACGCGGTGGTCGTGCCCGTCGTCATCCAGAACCAACAAGAAATGTGCTTCAACCCGATCTTCTTCCTCTGCAACGTCACGCGCCTCTCGCGTGCGTACGATTCGCTCATGCGCCTGCCGTACGGCATTGGCTGGACCTTCTGGCAGCTCAAGGGCGTGCTCTGGCTGACGCTCAACTGCGGCACAAGCATTCCACTACCAGTGCGAACAACGCTGCGCTTCGGGCCAGCACTCAAGCCGCGGAAGCATGAGTCGACCGCTGTCTTTGCCAAGCGCGTCGAGCGCAAATACGCCCAGCTCCTCACACGCGCCAACCCGGGCGGCCTCAACTATGCGCGTGCACTCGGCGATCGCTTCCATCGGCGTCGCGGCGCATCGAAAAAGTCCAGATAGATGCGAGTTTGAAAGCACGCCGTGTTGTCCTAAGGAGTCTTCTTCTCGTGCTTCATGCCGCCCTGGCACGTCGGCGACGGGCGTACAGTGTTGTTGGCCTCCCACTGCGACGGTGTCTTGCTCTGGATCGAGAGCGCGTGGACGCCGCCTTTCGTGAGCTCGTCGTCCAAGACCGCGTTGACCATGCGATGGCGCTGGAGAAGCGGCTTGCCCTCAAAGTGGTCCGAGACCACAATCACCTAGAATCGCATGCGGTGAGCGCGCCCATGGTTGGACGGAGCGCGGACCTTGAAGTGCGTCTCGGAGCCCTTGGGCACGTTGTGCATGTAGCTCTCGTTGAGCACTTGGAGGTGCGTCGGCGCAAAGGCCGCAGCCAGCTTGGTCTGGATCGCGCTAAAGATCGGGCCCTCGGTCGTCGACATCGTGCTCGCTCTCTAGGCCACGCACATAAGACACCATCGCCATCGTCCTTCCTACCGAGAAGGTTCGAACGAAGCTTGGCAGCATGGTCGACTGCCACCCAGAACAGTATATTTTGCTAACAGTATTCAAGACTTTTATACGACACTATTTAAAGTATGCAATGAAATCGTGTGAAAAGATACGCACTGTCGACACGACAGAGCGATCTGGCTGGCGTTGACAGCAACGAGTAGCCACAGCGACGCGGCGCCCTCAGCTGGCGGAAGCCGCGCGCGCTCGAGGGACGTCAAGAGTACACGACCACCGCATCCTTACGCCGCCATTGCGCTGTAGACAGGCTACTACCGAAATGGCCTTTCTTGACGTACTAGTAGGAGCGTCGCTCAGCGCTGCATGAATAGACTGCTGCATGCCACGGACAGCATCCCGTTGTATCGTCTTGTAGCACAGAGTGTACACTGAAGCCTGCGTCGCTGCTGAGAAAAACATGGATGGAGTGCACAAGTCGCAGCGCTTGTTGTCGGGGACCTGGCCTCTGCGATCGACGACGCGTGTCTGTCCGCTGATTGCTCAAGGAGCCCGATTAACGTGTCCGTATTAAAAGATCGCTGCTTTATAACCCGTCATGTCGCAGGTCACACTTGAAGTTTGTACTATTAGGGCGAAAGGGCGTCAAAGTGCAATTTCGCCGCTTCCGAGGACATCGCGATGGTCGACGCCACGGACCGCCCGCTCTACCACGACGTGACCAAGAACCCCGTGTACGCCTTTGTGTACCGCCACATTTACCCGCTCTTCGTCTCGTTTTACGCCTGGACCATCATCGGTTCGCGCACGCTCCTTATCTCGAGACAACGTTACCGTCGACGCTGTACTAGGGGCCGAGAACGTCCCGACAAAAAGGACGCACGCATTCTCTTTGTCGGCTACCACTCGAACCACAACTGGGACATCACGCTCACTGGCATCTCGGTGCGTCAGATCATGGACGAAGTGCCCGTCGGCCTCATGCACCGCACGCTGGTGACGTGCTGCCCTTGGCTCAAGGCCTTTGGCTGTATCCAGGGGACGCGCGCCAACGCGCTCGCGGCATACGAACGCGGCCACCGCGCGTGCATGGTCATTCCAGGTGGTGCCGAGGAGGCTCTCATGGGCCACGAGAATGCGTACACGGTCAATTGGTACTACTTCTTTTGTTTGGTGTGGCATCTCTGATGGAGTTTGTTGCAGGCAGTCGTCCAAGGGCCACTTGCGCAAAGGGTTTGCCGAGCTCGCAATCGACGCCAACGCCGTCATCATCCCCGTCGTGGTTGAAAACATGCAAGAGATGGTGTTCAACCCGCTCTTCTTCCTCCTCAACATCACGTACCTCTCCAAGGTATACGACTACTTGATCGCGCTCCCAGGCTACATTGGGTGGCTCTTTCTTCAACTCAAAATGTGGACATGGATGTGGACGGCGATGCTGCCCGTGCTTCCGATGCCAGTCAAGGCGTCCGTGATCTTTGGCAAGCCGCTGCGCCAAGACAAAGGCGAGTCCCCCGAGCAATATGCACTGCGCGTGAGCCACGAGTACGCGCGCTTGATGGCCGCGACGAACCCCGGCGGGCTCAACTACTCGCGGGCACTGCGTGCTCGGTTTGCCACCGTGCCATAAGTCAACCACACAACAGGACACCTTGCCATGAATTGTGAAAATATGATGCATCCACGCTCCTTGTCCGTCGTCGTCAATGTCGTCGAGCAAGTCTTATGGTCTGTGTTTTGCCGATCTAGTCGTCGTTCCCGAGGCCCAAGACGGTCAACATGCGCACGAAAATATTGATGATATCTACACGTGTTCATGAGCTGTTCCGACGACGACGACGCGATGCGACCGTACCGAGGAAGAGGTCGAGCGCGTGCCATACAAAGTCGTCTTCGCCGCAGATGGCGCGCTCAATCATGAGCTGCGTGTCGAGGATGACGAAGAGCGAGAAGAGCACGAGGCCGCCATACTATTCGCATCAAGCATGAATGCCTTGTTGCGAGCATACTACATGGAGGACGACGACGTACGAGGCTAAGGTAGACTAGAAAGGACTCGTGAAGAAAGAGGGTGGCGACACCGAGGACAAGCAGCACAAGCAACGCCGACACGAGAAGCCCGTAGAGAAAGAACGAAGCTCGGCGCGTGGCTAATTCAGCAACGATGCGATAGAACCACCAAGACCTTGCACCACGTACCAAAATACGCGCAGAGACTCATGGTGACAAAGATCAACGTCGTGCAGCCACTAAAGAAGAGTGAGTACACTGGCCACCACGGTAGGCGAGTGTACAAGGCGAGACCGACGAGAGCCGGGTCGAGGGCGAGGACACGCTGCACCAGGCTGCCGATGCTGGCGCCCATGGACGTGGCGAGAAGCATCGCACTTGTCAAGCGAAAGGCGAGCCACGCGGGCGGCGAGAACATGATGGCAAACAAAAGCGGCAACGTGATGGCGAGTCCCGTGATCGCGGGATCGACGGGCCAGCGCAAGTCGAGGAGAACGCCGATAGCAGCAAAGAGCACCATGAGTCCAAGCGTCGTGTAGACGCGAAGCAAGTGGCGACGCACGTGCGCGCTCACGTCACTTGCCTCCCACACGAGATCCCACGTGAGCTGCGGGCGCTTCGTGCCCATGTTCACGTCAGGATTAAGAAGCGCCGCTGTCAGGGGCGTTGGTTCCTTGGTCATGGCTCGTTTTTTTTAAGTGACGGTTGTAGTAGCCTGTTGTGAAACCGAAATGCATTCCTCAGCTACAATGTGTACATTCCAGAGCGGCCAATCGAATGTGTCGCGAGATTGTCAAGCAGCCCGAAACCACTACTATTAGTACAGTTTTGAGCAAGAAGGTCCGCCTTCCTGATGATTTCTTTCGCGCCAACGTTGCATTCTACGGTAAAGCAATGAATAATTTCTACGCTGCGTCGAAAGTATGGAGATATTGTACTCACCTTGGGCTCGACTGCCAACGCTTCGTGGTCCCCAAACCGAGAGGCGGCTTCGTGTCAAAGCCACCTCAGCTTTTCATTGCAACGACCCCGATGTTTATGTATTCATCGTCGCTGGAAACTAGCGTCAATATGCGCACGGAACACTGATCCGCGCATAGTAGGCGCCATTGGTACAAAGCGAGGCACGTGCCAGTGAAGAGGTCGAGCACCCAAACAAGAAACTTGCGCAGGTTTCTGAGAATGCAAAGACTTGTAGCGCACCACAGTAAGCGCACAAGATCGTGACGACAAAGATGAGCATATTGCAGCCACTACGCCACACAATTCCATGAGTGCCGGTCGGAGGGATGAATGCACCACAATTTCCATGGAATACGGCTTTGATGGCGTGGCCAAGAAAAGTGCAGCTTCGCAGTTGGAAATTCATGGACTAAGAGAAGAGCCAGATAGAGATAGCGCGGACGGGTGGAGAAGCTCTAAGCGCTAGTATTGCGTACTAGTACACTGTACAAGTGCCTTGCATTGGAATGACGTGGCAGCATGTCCGTTGATGGAAAACTACCATGAGGTACTGTAATAGCTTTTAGTGAATTGCTTTGACCCTTTCGCTTGCCAGTCTCGGTGCATGGATCTGGATGTCAACCGCCCGAACAGTTCATGGTAGATACTGCACCATGTGCCGCACGATCGTGCACGGCTGCTGGCTTTGCCATCGGACTCCCATCGAGGCTACCATCGTCTCGAAGGAATTGAGCTCTAACGTCGATAGGATGGTCTCTTGGACGCAGCCATGACCGAGTTGCTTGACCCTGTGCGCCGTTCATTTCTCATCCGACAGGGACAACATCGCCTTCAAATCCAAGACAACGACGCCCTCTCTCTGCCCGTCCTCAATTCAATGAATCATTCTATGTGTGGGCATGTAGAATTTCGCTGGACGAATCTCCATCGCATAGGCGGGGCTTTGAATGCCGGGTTGGCGCGCCGTTTTGTTGACTTTGGCTGTTGCACATGCTGCCTTGCTATGCTTCGCGCGGGAAATTTAAACACTCTCCCGCACAGTGTGGTGTCCACTCGCGGGACCGCAGCCAATCCGAGGCCTCCTGGCCGCTGACTGGTGGTAATTTGAACCAATCCAAGGGTTGTATTGGCGAGGAAGCGTCGCCGATTGGCGCAAAAGAAAGCCCGCGCAAGGCACCGATGCCCGATGCCCGCGCGCTTTGTGCCGCGGTTTCAGAACTGGCCCATTTGAACCGAACGGTTACGAAGCCCGGTTTGGTAGCCGTTGGATTTATTTTATTGCATACAAAGAGCGAGGTACATTGACGCGCCGGCTTGGATTGCCATCGCCGCGGCGCGGGCCGTTTGAACGCTTGAAATTCGAATCGACCGGCGAGGTGGCGAAGTCGGTCATTTCCCGATTGGCCCACCACCGACCATGCTCGTCATCTGCTTCGAAGGCTGCCACGGTGCGCCCGCGTCATGGCCGACGAACCAATGGCTCATGACATGTCCGATGGCCCATAGGCAGCGGCAAGACGTCGCTCTGCAAGGAAGTGAACAACATGGGCTTCCGCGTCCTCGACGAGAACTTCCTCGACATGCCGTCGCACTCGCTGCACCCGCAGTCGCTCTTCATGGAGACCAAGTGGGTCTGCGCCTGGTATGCGAGTCCGCCGCGCCATGACTCTAATGGCTCATCTGCGGCGCCGATAGGTTTGACCGCGTCTTGACGCTGGCGCGCCACGACCGCAACAAGAACCAGGTCTTCTTCGCGGACCGTTCGCCGTTTAGCGCTGTCTTTTACGCGACGCATGGCCACCTTCTCGACCAAGTCATCCGCGCGCAAATGAAGGAGGTCGCCGACTTTGCCAACGTCCAGTTCCTTACCGTGCATGTGAATGTCGAGAAGGAGCTTCTCTGGAGCCGCATCCAGCACCGCCTCCAGCTCGAGCCCGAGCGCGTGCGCTACGCCGAGCACAAGCGCTCCAAGATGGAAGACTGCCTTGCTTTCTACAACTCGTTCCCGTGGGACATGCAAGTGCACAACGATGCGACGTCGCTCCAGCATTTTGCGCAGAACGTCATCACGATGCTGCTCCAAAAGTTGCCGACCATGCAACTCGCTGTCCAGGTACCTTGACCACGAACATCGACATCATGACTCATGCGTGCGCGTAGGCGATGGCGGCGGAAAAGGATTGCTCGATGGGTGTCGAATTCGACCAAACCGACAGCGACTGCGAAAGCGAGATGACCGTCTCGTGCTACGACGACACGCCCATCAAGGAGCGTCTTGCGTCGGTCGCCGACGTCGAGCCGATTCGTTTCAACCTCGACATGGAGTAGATCGATGTGTATAGTCCCGTCCACGGTCGCGTTAGTAGTAGGTTTTTAATTATATATGGCCCATCCATGGCGCTTTCTGCATATATCGTTGTTGGTCTACAAAGCAGGTAATGGCCAGCAGCTACGGCCAGCATGATGGCAGGCTGGAGGCGCGTCGCCGCGAGAGGCTGGGCTGCCATCACCCATCACCAAGGGATCTGCACCGCACATCAAGATCCCAAGTATCTCCTAGTCCTACTGTGATGTGGCGTCGCTACAGCGCTCTCCGAATGCAGTCAGTCATCTCTCGGCACGAGAATGCTGCGCCCATGCTCTGTGGACTTCGTCGTCGTTCGTGCCATCGCCTTGCATCAAGGACTTTGCTCGACGATCGCTGGATCCCGCGCCAATTTTGCCGCACTGCGTTTATACGGCATGCGATTGGCTAAAAAGGAGCCAATCGTGTATCGCAAAGCCTCTTTGCCTGCGTTGGCAGCGTATTTAAATACAACGCAACAAATTGCACATACAAATAGCAAGACGATTGCGTGATCTTGGATTAAAATGCCATCTGATTGCAACGATGCTCCACCACAGTTATTCTGGTTTCACTCGAATTCATCAACTTCGAGAACAATCCCGATAGCATGCTGGCCGCGGGAATGAAGCGATGCTTGGGCCGCGCTTGACGACGGCCTACCGACGTCCATTCGCTCCATCGACGTCAGCCCTGTGGATGCGTGGGTTCTGCGATCGCCGAGGTACGCGCCCTTACGACGATGGGCGTTCCAACGACATGCAACGCGTAGGGGACGACGACGACGATGAGGACGACGACGAAGTGGTCGATGGGACGACCAAGTCGTCGACGATTGCGCCTGTGGGAGAGGGCGAGAACGCGCCCTTGGTACCCCACGTGCTCGTGCTCCCAACGCACAAGCGCCCGCTCTTTCCCGGCGTGATCTTGCCCATGACGATCACGAACCCCGAGGTGTCCAAGGCGCTCCAAGCGCTGCGGGACAGCGGCCAAAAGTACGTCGGTGTCTTCCTCAAGAAGGACGCGGCCAAGGCCGCCTCCAAGGTAGGATGGCGATACTACATGCATGGCATGGATTGGATCTCTGTCTGTGCGTAGGAAGAAATGGGGTACACGGGCCTTGCAAACCAGCAAGGCGAGGACTTGGTCACGACCCTCGATGACATCCATCATGTTGGCAATTATGCGCGCATCGACAACATGATTGGCTTTGAGAACAACCATGCGATGCAAATTCTGCTGACGGGGCAGCGCCGGATCACGATCGACGGGATCCACGACAGGTAGACGCCATAGCGCCGAGATGCATGTCATCTCATGGAAATGGTAGCGGTGTCAACCCGCTCCGCGTGGGCATCTCGCCGCTGACGAACCCGTCGTACGACAAGAAGAACAAGATGATCAAGGCCTACTCGAATGAAATTGTGGCGACGCTCCGCGAGATCGTGAAGCTCAACCCGCTCTTCAAGGAGCACATCCAGTACTTTAGCCAGCGCATCGATATCAACAACCCATTCTTGTTGGCGGATTTTGCGGCGTCGGTATGTCGATTTTCCTCGTTCCATGCGGATGCTCATGGCGCGTAGATCACGACGGCCGATGCGGAAGAGCTCCAGAGCGTCTTGGAAGAGATGGACTGCGAGCGTCGTCTGCAGAAGGCGCTCGAGCTCGTGACCAAGGAAACTGAGCTCTCGCGCGTCCAGCAGTCGATCAAGGAACAAGTGGAAGAGAAGGTGTCCAAGAACCAGCGCCAGTACCTCCTCATGGAACAACTCAAGACCATCAAGAAGGAACTCGGCATGGAGAAGGACGATAAGGATGCGATGCTCTCCAAGTTCCGCCAGCGTCTCGACGCGTTCTTGGTGCCGCTTCCGGAAGCCGGCGAAGGGACAACCGAGACCGATAGCAACTCGAAGCGTCAGAGTCACATTCCCGACGGTGTCCTCGAAGTCATCGAAGACGAAATGAACAAGCTCTCAATGCTGGAGAAAAACTCGTCCGAGTTCAACGTCACGCGCAACTACCTGGACTGGCTCACGCTTCTGCCGTGGGGCAAGTCGACGACCGAGAACTTTGACATTGTGGCGGCCAAGGCAATCTTGGACGCGGACCACTACGGTCTCGGCGACGTCAAGCAGCGCATCCTAGAGTTCATCGCTGTCTCCAAGCTGCTCGGTACCATTTATTTTTACCTCAATTCTAGTGTAAACCAATATGCATATGTAGGCCAAGTCCAAGGGCGCATTATTTGCCTTGTGGGCCCGCCGGGTGTCGGCAAGACCAGCATCGGCAAGTCGATTGCTTCGTCGTTGAACCGTGAATTTACCGTTTCTCGGTCGGCGGTCTTAGCGACGTGGCCGAAATTAAGGGTCATCGCCGGACGTACGTCGGCGCGATGCCGGGTAAGGTTATCCAGTGCCTGAAGACGACACAGAGCTCCAACCCGCTCATCCTCATTGATGAAATCGACAAGCTCGGTCGCGGTCACACGGGTGACCCGGCCTCGGCACTCCTCGAGCTTCTTGACCCGTCGCAAAACACGTCGTTTGTCGACCACTACTTGGACGTACCCGTGGATTTGTCCCGGGTCCTCTTTGTGTGCACGGCCAACGTCACCGACACGATCCCGGGGCCGCTCCTCGATCGTATGGAGGTCATTCGACTTTCGGGTTACGACGCCCCAGAGAAGGTTGCGATTGCCAAGCAGTATTTGGTGCCCAAGACGCTCGAAAAGAGTGGCTTGAAGAGCGAGCATGCCCCGGCGTCGTTGTCGCTCACGGACGACACCATTATGGATCTCGTCAAGCGGTGGGAAACACAATGTTACCAGGTGGCTCGTGACTCATGTGCTATCTGTAGGTACTGCCGGGAAGCCGGCGTGCGCAACCTAGAGCAGCACATTGAAAAGATTTTCCGCAAGGTCGCGCTCGAAGTCGTCGAAAACATGGCCAAGGACGAGAAGGACGTGAAGGACTATTGCATCACGCCTGATGGCCTCCAGAAATATGTGGGCCAGCCCCGATTTACCTCGTACAACCCACAGTTTCGCTTCAAACACAAGGTCTTACCAATCATGTCTCTTCTAGGGAGCGCATGTATGAAGCGTTGCAGCCTGGTGTTGTCATGGGTCTGGCGTGGACGGCCATGGGTGGCTCATCGTTGTACATCGAAACCACTACGGTGCAAACCAAGGGTGCGTTGTCGACTTGGCCGCACGCTTGTCCACACATGAGTTCTTTAGGCGGCAAGGGTTCGCTTGTCACGACGGGTCAAATGGGCAGCGTTATGGAAGAGAGCACGCGAATTGCGCACACGTATGCGCGCCACAAGCTCGAGCAGGTGCGCGACTACCCACATGTGTCACCACATCCTCACCATTATTGGTTGTGTTTTAGGTGGAGTCCGAGAACACCTTTTTTGAAGCCGATCTGCACTTGCACGTGCCAGAAGGGGCAACGCCCAAGGACGGTCCGTCGGCAGGCTGCACCATGGTGACGGCCCTGCTCTCGCTTGCGATGAACAAGTAAGTCGTACCAGGCCGGGACCATGCTACAAGAGCCCTAATATGATGCTCGTAGGCCTGTGAAATCCAATCTCGCCATGACGGGCGAGCTCTCGTTGACGGGCAAGGTGTTGCCGGTGGGCGGTATCAAGGAGAAGGTGATCGCGGCTCGGCGTGCCGATGTGACGACGATCGTCCTTCCAGCGGGCAACCGTAAGGACTACGATGAGCTGCCCGACTACCTCAAGGAAGGTCTCGACGTGCACTTTGCCAAGGTCTATGACGATGTGTTCAAAGTCGCGTTTGAGGACGCGGCACTGTAAACGGAGCTATAGAAGTCCAACCTTCCAATATCATCTAACGCACTTGCTCGTAGCGCCTCATTGGCGTGGTGATGCCAGCACACACACTGTTGGAAACACGTACAGGATATGTATTCATGAGCGGTCACGGCCTATCTCTTTTGGTGGTTGACGTAGCGCAGCGCAAGCAGCGCGAGGATGCGCCAGAGCAGGATGAAGCCAATGACCGCGAAAAAGTTGGCCCACCGGTCGTCGTAGTTCATCTCGTAGACCTTCTCGACATAGTCCTTGACGCGAATCTTCTTGGTGCCAAACTCGGCAAAGAGGCTCGGCGGAATGCCGTCCTCCGGCATGAACTTGCAGCCGATCTGGGTGTCGTCCGTGCACTTGGTAAACGTCTCGGCGACGAGGAGCGCGACCGAGTACTTGGGCGGCGTGATGTGGTAGAGCCAGCGGTAGCCGTTCGGGATCTGCGACGCGGGCGGGTTGTAGCCCATGAAGAGGAAGAAGATCGAGTTGAGGAGGACACCCATGAGCGCAGCAACGTCGACGCGGGGCATGCAGTACGACATGAGCTGACCAAAGTAGACGTTCATCAAGACGAGGAGCGAGAGGTTGAGGCCGTAAAAGAGGCACGCGCCGACCGATTCGTTGAGGCCCACGAACGGGTAGTAGATGATCGTAAAGACAAAGGTCGAGACCACGCAGTACGGGATCTCCACGAGCGTCGAGCCAATAAAGTACCAGAGCGCGTTGTACGTCTGCGAGGCGCGTTCGCGGTAGAACGACGCGCGTTCCTCCGAGGCGAGCGGCAGCACACTGTTGAACGAGATCAAACCAACGAAGAGCGACGTCATGAAGACCATGCCGACGCCACCGGTGGCGCCAATGTACGTCGCGTAGTCGACACCACGGTACACAAGACCAAAGAGGATTGCGAGCACGAGCGACATCATGGCACGCGTAAAATTGTAGGTGGGCGTGCGCCAGTACATGCGGAAGAAGCGCTGCGTGACCATCTTGAACTGCGTCGACGACGACGCCGCACGCTTCTTGCCAAACGTCAGCTCGGGCAACGTCGAGTGTGGCTGCGTATGGTGGACGAGCTCCTTGTCCATGATCGAGCGCTCGGACGAGTCGTTGAAGATGCGGACGTAGTCGTTGGGCGGCAAGTTGGTATGCTTGGCCTCGACACCGGCACCAATGACTTCGAGCATCCACGTCGCCGGGTTCGCACCCTCGACAAGCGGCGGCGTGTTGGGAATCGACTTGAAGTAGCTGATCATGTTGATCGCGTTCGCGCCGAGGTCGCCAAAGAAGACGGTCTCGCCACCGCGCTTGAGAAGGAGGAGCGAGTCAAACATCTCAAACACCTCGGTCGACGGCTGGTGGATCGTGCAGACGACGGTGCGACCTGTCGAGGCGATCTTGCGGATGCCCGTCATGATGATCTTGGCCGACCGAGCGTCGAGACCGGACGTCGGCTCGTCCAAGAAGAGGATGCTCGGCGCCGCCGCAAGCTCGACACCGATCGTCAGACGCTTCATCTGCTCGACCGACGCGCCACGAATGATCTTGTCGCCGAGGTTCTTCATGTCGAGGAGCTCAAGGCACTCTTCCGCAAACGCCATCTTCTCTTCCGTTGGGATCTCGTCCGACTGGCGGAGCATCGCGCTGAACTGGAACGCCTCGCGGAACGTCGCGCTCTCGCTGTGGATGTCCATCTGCTCGCAGTAGCCCGTCGCACGACGGATCGCGAGGTCCGTGGCTGCGTAGCCGTTGAGGAGGATCTGACCTTCGATCTTGCCGCCTGTTTTGCGACCGGCAATGACGTCCATCAAGGTGGTCTTGCCGGCGCCGGACGAGCCCATGAGCGCCGTGATCGTGCCGGGAAGAGCGTAGCCACTGATGCCCTTGAGTAGCTGCAAGTCGGGCTCGCCCTTGGTCGGGTTGGGCACCGAGTACCAGAGGTCCTTAAAGGCCATAACAACGGAGGGTGACAACGAGCTTGAGCCGGCGACATGTACGGCAACGTCATCCACCGCATTGCCGATATCTGTCGGCGTCTTGGGCGCCTTGACATACCCGTCACCGACATCGTCATCCTCTGCTTCGACCGTCACCACCGAGACATTCTCCGGCGCGTCGTAGCGCTTGTACTCGAGGGCGAGGTACGAGAGGCCGAGGAAGAGGACATAGATGGCTGCGAGGTAAATGGCGCCGTACCAGATCCAAGCAGTGTCCGTCTGGAGGCCAAACGTCTCGAGCATGACGTTGCCCATGGTGTCGTTCTTGAGCTTCATGTAGTCGACGCCCTTGTAGACCGGGACTTGGAACTCGGACGACGAGTACTGGTTGATCGAGAGCGCGCGCAAGCACCAGCTGAGCGGATTGATCCAGTAGATCCAGATAAAGTAGTCGGGCATGATGGACGGCGAGATGACAAAGCCCGCAAACAAGATGTAGAACAAGATCGACAGCATCGCCACGGGCTTGGCGACGTGCAAGTCCGGCGCAATCATGGCAATGAAGAAGAACCACGACGCGAACGACAAGTTGGTCAGAAAGAGCAGCAGCAAGTAGACGAAGAACGCGCCGACTTCCGACACAAAGCCCGTCATCCAGTACATGATGGCGCCAAACACCAAGGTCTCCCCCAAGGCGAACGGCACTTGGGTGAACGACTGGGCCAGAATGAACGACGAGGTCCGGAAAAAATTGGCGCCGCGCTGCTTGTAGTAAATGTTGCGTGCGTCCAGCGCCGCCGGCATGAGTGGCACTTGGCCGAGTGCGAGGAAGAGCACCGCCGTAAAGATGACACCAAGCACTACAAACGGGTTGGACGAGTCCACTTGGTAGAACGTCGACGCGTAGAGGAGACCCATGACCAGCACCATGATGAAGCGGCTCTTGACGAACGCCGTGTTGCGGAGGAAGACCTTGAGCTGACGCGCAATGAGCATCTTGGTGCTCTCCATGTACGGCACTTGAAACGCCGGCATCTCGGCCATGTGCTTGGCCGCGTCCGCGAGCAGCAGCGGGTGGTGCGGGCCTTCCAGGTGGCTCATCATCTCGGCAAAGATCGCCGACCGACGAAACACATCGGCGTAATCGCTGGGCGTGCGCGGCACCGACGTCGTCCCGTCGACGATGTACTGCGCCTGCTGCGGCGTGCCGAGGTCGAGCAGAAAGTCGGCCACGTCGCGCTTGGGCGGGCACTTGAAGCCGAGCGACTCGAAATACTCGAGAGCCAGCGACCGCGGACCGTGGTACATGACGTGGCCTTCGTTCATGAGAACCACTTCGTCAAAGAGGTTGTACAGCTCGGGTGAAGGTTGCAGCAGCGCAATCACAATCGTCTTCTTGAGCGACGCAGCCATACTCTTCTGCGACTTGACAATATCGAACGCAGCCGCCGAGTCGAGGCCCGTGCTGATCTCGTCCATGAACGAGACCTGCTTCATGCCAAACTCCATCTCGCCGACGGTCACACGCTTGCGCTCGCCGCCCGAGACACCGCGGAGCATCGCGTTGCCGACGATCGTGTCTTCGCAGATCTTGAGACCCATCTGGCGCGTGATAATGTCCGGGTAGACGTTGTAGAGCGACTGAATCACAGCCTTGGCTTGTGCGTTCTCTTCGGGCGAACCGTACTGGAGCGAGTCGAGGACGCGCTGAGGCACGGCGCCGCCGCCACTGCATGCGTGGGCAAACTCGAGCGTCTCCTTGACGGTCAAGGTCGGGTAGTGGAAGTCACGCTGGTTCATGTAGGCCGTGAACTGCGGCAGCTGCGCTTTGACGTCCTCGGACTTGGCGCCGTTGAACGTAATCTGGCCGCCCACCGTGATGTTCTTGTGCATGGGAAAGCGGCCCGAGAGGATCTTCATGAGCGACGATTTGCCCGAGCCGGGTTGGCCGAGGAGGAGCGTCGTCGTGCTGGGCTTGAAAACACCGGACATCGGGTGCAGCACATCTTTTCGGATCGAACGCTTCTTGCGAGCGAGGCCGCGCGCAATCTTCTTGACGTGGTTGAGTAACGTCGGGAGCTCATGGCCGTCCTTGGTGGCGACGGAGACATCGGCCGAAATGGAGAGGTCCTGGAAGCGGATTTCCATCTGCGGCATGGCCTTGCCCATTGACGTCTCGAGCTGCGCGGCCAGTGACGCATGGAAGGCGTCCGAGCCGTCCTGGAGAAAGGCGTCGGCCGACTGAGGCGATGGTGGCATGCTCGCGACCCGGTAAATTCAAAACTGCTTGAGGTCGCATCCGCTGTGATCTTTGTGGCATCGGCTTTGATCCCGTATATGTTGATGAAATCAATGGTTTTCATCAACAGGTAATCGATTGCTACTCGTTGTTTGATTTGCATTTAAGGGGGTGCTCCTGCAGCACATATTCAAACCTTCACTTGTATTGACTATAGGTGCGATGCCACATTGCTTCGGAGGCACCACCTTTACAATCGGCAATATCACTTTGTAGAGAGCATTGTAGGTATACCGGTACTGTGCGCAAGATCAATTGCGCGGGTTTGTTACGACCATATTGAGTGTCGCAGGTTTGGCAACGCAGATCCGAAAAGAACAACATGACGTGACCACTCTTGATCACGTTCGACGGATACCATAACAAGGGCGAGCTCGTGTGCCCAAGCCAATATTGATCGAGTTAGAAATATACTGGAGCCCAGGCTGCATTACCCCTTGCCTTAGGACGACAAAGATGTGGGTGATAGCATACTAGTACGCATTTTGGACTACGTAGTCAGTACCACACTCGTCGTTTGCCCACATCCTCGCCAATTTACCCTCGCCGTTTTGCACGCGTCGTTTCTCTTCTTGTTCTTGCAGGCTGGAAGCCGAGTGTGACCCAGATATTATGATAATCATACTGTACTGTCTCGGGCGTTGACAGGCTTCCATGTGCGTCAGTCCACAGACGAGCAATGCGAGGTTTCTCCTGTAGGCCTCCGTCAGTTGCCCCCACCCCCGTTGATCGCTGGATTTACAAACCTTCACATGGCCGGCGGTGCATCCTAGCACGAGGACGTATCGTGCTAGCTTCGCGTGCTGCATCGATGGTGCTCGCACGAGTACCGAGGAGAACGATCTGCAGTTCTGATAGCGTAATTAGTAGCCACTGCTACAATAGCTACTCTTTAGTAATCGTTGGGTTATTGTTGAAGGGCGCCGATTTTGACAGGATACAATGTAATTCCCACAGCTAATGCTGCTAATTCCCACCGAGCCGGTCGCATTCCAAGCGCAATGCGACGACCGCTTTGCTAACGAGCAGCGAGGCGTGTGGCCGGCCCATTTTGTCTTTTGTTTACTACGCTTTCCAATGTACGGATCAGCGGATAAGACGATATGTGAAATTTCACTCGCCGATGACTACAGTCATCATCATCAGTTCCGATGGCTGATCTGCTGTATCAGCACGACCAGCAATGAGTGGTACACGTTGAACCCGTGCGTCGTAATTTGTGGTCGTGGGGACGTCAGGATCGATACTAATATGCAGCGGTCGTGTCGATAGGTTCGCCGAGGTGCCCGGTCATTAGCATGGCACTAGTACGTCACAATATACGACCACACGACATGCAAGGTGATCGAGCCAACGAGGTCGCTTGTGCTTCTACACTTTCAGAGGCAGTGCAATTGCATTTCTGAGGCGGTACTATGCAGCCGTATGTTCATTCTCGATCATTTAACTTTTTTCGATATGGCGAAGCGAGAGGAGCGCGAGGAGGCGCCACAAGCAAATGAAGCCACTACCCGATTGTCGGTTTGAACGAATTCGTCGGTGCGTGCATTTTTACGGTCTCAACCTCTCGCTCTTGGTGCCGATGAACGTCTACTTAGTCCAGCTCATGTCATATGCCACGCCGAGCGTTGAAATCGCCGCACTCATGGGTGCCCTCCTCACCTCGATCTGTGTCGTCTTCATGGGCTACTGGTACAACCCGCCGTCATCGCAAATCCCGACCGACAACAAAATGGCTTCACTACATCACGCCAGCCATGTATTCGGGAGACGTTCACAAAGTACACGAACGACAACTGGCTCGAGTGCCAGATCATGCTGGAAGAAGGCGTTTCGCCGAGCCTCTTTAGTCGAGTTCGGCACCACGAAAAACACGTCCACCAGTGTGTCGAGCAGGTGTACAAGATAAAGTGATGACCGGTGGGCGATCTTTTGTGCGGTCATTAGCTTTATCTTGTTGTGTCGCGTCCTCGCTCTCCTTTCGCTGCACTACACCAACTCCCAAAAGAGATAGGTAAATGTATGACTGCTCGTGAATATATCAACGTGTTCCGCGTTATCTTCCTTACAAAGAGTTCGCATACGTAGTGCTACGCCTGAATGCGTGGGGAGTCAGCACCAGCACTTGGTCGTTGGGAGTGAGCTGCGCACGGAGAGATCCATCCCGTGGTTGACCCCACTCGCCGAGGGATAGCTCGATCGAGGTCTTACGCAGGCTCCTGTACTCGGACCACCCGACAGAGGAGTGCAAACCGGGGCGTGTTTTTAGAGAAAACGCCGCACGCGGCGAGGCCGGACGACTGGTGGCGGCGGCGGAGGGCCGGGAGGCGACGGGACTTCGTGAAGGCAGGGCGACCGCGCCCGCGGGGCGAAAGCACGGGAGGGCCGGCGACGTCTCATCTCCTTGACGGCCGCCAGGGACTCGACGGGCCTTGAATCGTCGAAGGGCATTGGGTGCTGAGCGCGCGAAGAGCGGCGCCATCGGCGCGGCCACCGACCGCTGCCAGCGACCAGCACTTACACAGCAATGGACGTAAGACACAGAGCACACAGCACGCCGGAGCGCGCCATGGCCCTGCGGGCGCCAGGTGCCCTTGGAATGGAGGCACCCAAATCCAGCCAAAAAAGAGATCCGACAACGCTCCAAAATTCCAACGCACACCTCCAGTACATTCTTCAACACATGTACGGTGTTCATTTCATCGCCGTGCACGCGCCGATAAAATAAGCGTGTGCATCCCAATTGCGTTGGTGTGCTAACCAGGGATGGCGAGTGAGTGGGCCGTGAATAGAGTACACTCACTCTGAGTGAGTGCCGATTCACTCAGCGGGGTGCCTGAGTGAGTGTGTGTGAGTGGGTTGAGTTAGTGTGTCTTGGCCCCACTTCGATTCCCCGCAGAAGATCTTTTTTCGCACATACTCCACGGAACGTCCTGGCTTCCAATTGTCGTGGCAACGCATGGCTGGGGGAGAGGAAGGAAATACCAATGCAGCGGAGGAACCATCACCGTTTCATGCCTCGAATCGACACCCTGTCGTCCAACACCAGCACCGCTACGACCGCCCCGACGCTTATTGCAATTACCGGCAAGTCGTCGTGGGTTTGGAAGCATTTTGGTAAGCTCGAGGAAGTCGCTTAGTCGATCGTCGTGTGCCGCGTGTTCCTCAAGTCGAAGCTACCACTCCGCGATTGTCGCGTCGCACTTCATGCGTCGAACTCATAGAATGCGATCCGACATGAAGCTTTCTCGACTTTCTCGAGCGCGTTCAATGCTGTGATCTTCCCGACAACTCGAAGGAGAAGGCTGCTCACAGAAACTGGGTGCATCTCTCGAAGATTTTTGACGTCCACCTCTGGTGGCGCAAAAACGGCTGCCACCATCGTTTCGTCGAGCGCCTTGCAGCTCGTGAGCTCGCGTGTCCGGACTCGAACGCCCTCCAGGAGCGCGTCTTCTCGCTCTGCAAGCTGATCAACTCGCCGTTGCGACAAAAACTCGGCAACGCCAAGTTCGAGATGCTTCTTGTGCTGGCATTCAACAAGAAGTTCATCCGCATGTGCTCAGATGACAGCTCCCTCGCCGAAACCCTCGGGTCGACAACGTACACGTCGCAAGCCACTGCAACGCTCATCAACTTCTTCGACCTCGACGCCAGCAGGCTGAGTCGGCTATCGACATTGCTGATACGCTTCGTTCGGCGGCGTTGGCCCCCGCCGAGAACACGCAACCGAAGAAGCGCAAGATTTGTACCGCTGAATAGGCATGAGTTAACTTTAAGTAGCTGAGTGCACTCACTATTGTCGTTTGCGAGTTGTGAGTGAGTGAGTACTCACTCACAACGGAAATGGGCCCCACTCGCCATCCCTGGTGCTAACGTACACTGCGATCCTGGATCTCACTGCTCGTCGTGCCACGTGTTGGCACGTGTTGGTGCGGGACGGAAATCGTGAAATGATTGCTCGGCGGGCGCGGGCGAGCAATCATCCATCGGTCCAACCTCCGTGATCTTGTCCGCTGCATGTCGCACATTTGCGGTACCACGATCATCCGAACCAAGGAGAAGCGCTGACGACGACACTGCAGCCTATGCTCAATTAGACGCCTGCCATGTCGACGTGGCTATCGGTGTCAACCAAGACGCGTGGGACTGATGCCCACACACCAAAATGCTGCGGCGCCATCGGAGCTACCAAGAACAAAATACCATCATTTGCAGAGCTACATCTTCAGTCCCACCGGTGTCTCGATGCCTTGTCGCAGGTCGCGTGATCTCAGAAACCGCCAACACCAACGCCGCGCTTTGCTGCCGGGCTTCAAGCCGGCACCCGTGGCTCGTACACAGTGTCTGCACTCGACTACTCGTCAAGTAATTGCGCTGCGTGGAGCCGTACAGTAAGCGCCACGGCGACTGCGTCGGAAAGCGACGCGCTGTATCGCAGGCTCTGTGTGCCGGCGACCATACAAATCTGCAGACGCTCCGCTTGGTTTATGCGATTGCATCATCAGAACGTACCGTCGTCAGTGCGCGGGTTGATGCAACCATGAGGTTTGCATCATAGTCGCTCCGAGTCGCAACGGGAACGACTATTGGAAACACCTTGTAGAAAAGATCACTTTGCATTTTACTCGCCGCGCCACATTGCCCTTCAAGTAGCATGCCACCATCGCCTCAGTCGGCCGACGCCTTTCTCCAGGACGGCTCGGACGCCTTCCACGCATCACTGGCTGCGCAGCTCGAGACGTCGATGGGCAAGGCCATGCCGCAGATGGAAATCCGCTTCCAGGACCTCTCCATTTCGGCCGATGTCTCCGTCGCCACCAAGGACGGCCATGAGCTCCCGACGTTACTCAACCACGTCAAGAAGATTGCGCGCGGCCTCGCTCGCAAGAAGCGTTCGATCCGAAAAGATGTGCTGCACCCGATGTCCGGTGTTTTCAAGCCCAGCACGACGACGCTCCTCCTCGGCCAACCCGGCTCGGGCAAATCGTCGCTCATGAAGATCCTCTCGGGTCGCTTTCCCATGCACAAGAACATCACGGTGGGCGGCAACGTCACGTACAACGGCGCCAAGTCCGAGGACGTCAAGGCGCAGCTGCCGCAGTTCACGGCCTACATGAACCAGCGCGACTTTCACTACCCGACCTTGACCGTCAAGGAGACGCTCGAGTTTGCCCATGCATGCAGTGGCGGTGCCGCCGTGCCTCAGCGCGTCCTCGACTCGCTGGAATACGGCTCGCCCGAAGAGAACGCACAAGCCAAGGCTGTGATTCAGTCGCTCTACAACGTCTACCCGGACATTATCACGCGCCAGATGGGTCTCAAGATCTGCGAAGACACGATCGTCGGCAACGCGATGCTCCGCGGTGTCTCGGGCGGCGAGCGCAAGCGTGTGACCGTCGGCGAGATGGAGTTTGGCATGAAGCAGGTCTCGTTCATGGACGAGATCAGCACGGGGCTCGACTCGGCGGCAACGTACGATATCGTCAAGTCGCAGAAAGGCATGGCCGAGTCGCTCAAGAAGACGATCGTGATTGCGCTGCTGCAGCCGTCGCCCGAAGTCTACAACCTCTTTGATGACGTCCTCCTCCTCAACGAAGGCCACGTCATGTACCACGGTCCGCGGTCGCTGGCTCTCGAGTATTTCGAGTCGCTCGGCTTCAAGTGCCCGCCCAAGCGTGACGTGGCGGACTTTCTGCTCGACCTTGGCACGCCGCAGCAGGCGCAGTACGTCGCCTCTGGTGCCTCGCTGGCAACGGTTCCTCGGTCGCCCAGCGAGTACGCAGAGCTCTTCCGCCAGTCGGCCATCTACAGTGCGATGATGAGCCACGTCAAAGGCCCGCATCACCCACTGCTTCTCGCGGCGTCCGAGAAGCACATGTCCGAGATGCCGGCGTACCAAGTGCCATACATGGAGAGCACCAAGATGCTCATTGCACGTCAGCTCAAGGTCTTTTTGCGCAACACGGCGTTCGTCAAGAGCCGTCTCTTCATGGTATTGCTGATGGGTCTTCTGTACTCGTCGACGTTCTACCAAGTCGACGCAGAGAACCCGGTCGTCGTCCTTGGTGTCATTTTCCAGTCGGTCTGGTTTTGGCCATGGGCCAAGTGCCCATGATGCCGGCGGTCTTGGAAGCGCGCGAGATCTACTACAAGCAGCGGTCGGCCAACTTTTTCCGGACCTCGTCGTTCATTCTGGCGCAGTCGTTCACCCAAGTGCCGTTCGCCTTGGGGGAGACCTTGGTGTTTGGTGCCATCATGTACTGGATGACGGGCTTTGTGTCGACGGCCGGCGCGTTCCTCACGTACCTTCTCATGCTCTTTCTAACCAGCTTATCGTTTGCCGCGTGGTTCTTCTTCCTCGCGGTCGTCTCGCCCGATCTCCATGTCGCCAAGCCGCTCTCGATGATGGCGATCCTTGTTTTGTCCTCTTTGCCGGCTTTGTCATCTCGCCGTCGATCATGCCCGACTACTTTATCTGGCTCTACTGGATCAACCCGCTCAGCTGGTGCGTGCGCGCACTGGCCATCAACCAGTACTCGTCGGCCGAGTTTCAGCAATCGACGTACAACGGCCGTGACTACCTCAAGCTGCGCGGTGACACCATGGGCAACTACATGCTCAAGACGTTTGGTCTCCAGACGGACACGATCTGGATATGGTACGGCGCCATCTACCTCGCGGCGTCCTACTTTGTCTACCTCGGTCTTTCGTACCTCGCCCTCGAGTACAAGCGCTACGACGCGCCCGAGAACGTCTCGGTGATGGTTGACGAAGAAGACGACACAGCCGACGCATACACCAAGGCACCCAAGACTCCAGCCAACGCTGTCGACGGACAAGTGGCAGTGCATGTCGCTGGCGCATCGTCGTCGTCCGCGCCAGTGGCACTCGCGTTCAAGGACCTCTGGTACTCGGTGCCCAACCCAACCAAGGGCGAGCCGGACCTCCAGCTGCTCAAGGGTATCAACGGCTACGCTCTTCCCGGCACGATCACGGCGCTCATGGGCTCGTCCGGCGCCGGCAAGACCACCTTGATGGACGTCATTGCCGGTCGCAAAACAGGCGGCAAGATCGAAGGTCAGATCCTCCTCAACGGCTACGCAGCCACGGACCTCGCGATCCGTCGTGCGACGGGCTACTGCGAGCAGATGGACATCCACAGCGAGAGCGCGACGTTCCGCGAGGCGTTCCAGTTCAGCGCGATGCTCCGCCAGTCGGACGAGATCCCAACGGAAGAGAAGATGGCGTTTGCGGAAGAGTGCCTTGAGCTCCTCGACATGAAGAACCTCGGCGACAAGATCATTCGTGGCGCGTCGGTCGAGCAGATGAAGCGTCTGACGATCGGTGTCGAGCTTGCGGCGGCGCCGAGCATCCTCTTCTTGGACGAGCCGACGTCCGGTCTCGACGCTCGGTCGGCCAAGATCATCATGACGGGCATCCGCAAGATCGCCTCGACAGGTCGCACCGTCGTCTGCACGATCCACCAGCCGTCGACCGAGGTGTTTGAGATGTTCGACTCGCTCCTCCTTCTCAAGCGCGGTGGCGAGACCGTCTTCTTTGGCGACCTCGGCACGAACGCGAGCCATTTGATCAGCTACTTCAAGTCGATTCCCAACACGCCGCCGCTTGTCGAGGGTGCGAACCCGGCGACGTGGATGCTCGAAGTCATTGGTGCCGGTGTCGAAGCCAAGAACACCAACTTGCCGCCCAACGACTACGTCCGCATCTTCAACGGCTCGAACGAACGCGGTCTTCTCGCGGCGGCGCTCGATCGCCACGCTGCGCCGCACCCGTCGCTGCCCGAGCTCACGTTTGGCAAGAAGCGTGCGGCGTCGTCGTCGACGCAGTTCAAGATGGTCACGCAGCGCTTCTTCCGCATGTACTGGCGCACGCCGTCGTACAACTACACGCGCGCGATGCTCTCGATCATCCTCGCGGTGCTCTTTGGTTTGGTCTACCGCGGTGTCGACTATGCGACGTACATTGGCGCCACCGGCGGCGTCGGCATGATCTTCATGACGTCGCTCTTCGTCGGTTTGATCTCGTTCAACAGTGTGCTGCCGCTCGCCTCGGAGGAACGCGCGTCGTTCTACCGCGAGCGCGCGTCGCAGACGTACAACGCGCTCTGGTACTTTGTCGGGTCGACGCTGGCCGAGATCCCGTACTGCCTCGTCACGACGTTTGCTTTCACCATCATCTTTTACCCGTTTGTTGGCTTGAACGAGTCGGTCGGCGCGTGCCTCTTTTACGGCCTCAACCTCTCGCTCCTCGTCTTGATGAACGTCTACTTTGGTCAGCTCATGTCGTACTGCATGCCCCGCGTCGACGTTGCTGCGCTCATGGGTGTCCTCCTCAACTCGGTATTCTTCCTCTTCATGGGCTTCAACCCGCCAGGGTCGCAGATCCCGAGCGGCTACCGCTGGTTGTATCACATCACACCGCATAAGTACTCGGTCGCACTTCTCGTCGCTGAGACGTTCGCCAAGTGCACGGACGGCAGCCAGCTCGGGTGCCAGATCATGCCCGAAGACGGTATTCCGCCAAGCTTGTCGGCGGCGCTCGGCACCAAGAACGTGACGGTCGCCAAGTACGTCGAGCACGTGTACGAGATGAAGTTTGACGATCGGTGGAGTAACTTCGGCGCGGTCATTGGCTTCATTTGCTTGTGGCGCATCCTCGCGCTGCTCTCGCTTCGCTATATCAACCACCAAAAGAGATAAGCAATTTTCGCAGCTTGATTCAGAAAATAATAAATAGATAAATTGTTTCTATATTATAGTGTTTGCAATGTTGCCAACTGGTGAGCCTCCTGGTGCAGTCGAATATAACAAACTGCGTTGTGGTCGCAGTTGGTTTGGCAAGCGCTGTCGGCCCACGGTGGTTCGTAGCATGAGCGGAGGTCGTTGAGGTTAGGGGAGGGGTAGGGTACGCAAAGCTTGGTCGTTTTGGTGCCGGAGGATTGCATGGTCGCTTGACACTCCGAATTGAAACACGTGAAAGCTTTAGCGTTGCCTTGTGACCCAATGTACCAGCTACTGGATAGACAGTAAATGCCAAAAGATTACGTCCATGTGACTGCTTTCCTCAACTTGGCACGACCGCGCACCAAAGCTGCCCAAAGGAGTGGTTTGGGCTTGCACTGACCCGCCTTGCCTTGCAATATATAGAAGGTGCGTCAGCGAGCTATCCGTAGGTCATAGATACGAGTGGTATATATTTACTTCATCGCCTTTTGCGTCAACGTCATGTTGACAACAACACTAAGTACTTATAGGTTGCACTTGACGACGTCGTCGCTGCCACGTATGCATCAGCGACCATGAAACTCATCGCTCTTGGCTCGACGTGCGTACTTCGGCACAAGGTTCGGCCTAGCGCGAAGGATATAACGCCGCTTTGGCGCCACGGCACAGGCATCGACGTCGGCGGAAGCCGGTGCAGAAGCCATCTTAGCGCGCCAACAGTGAGGGATATCGTATTATATACAAACAACCGGTACAAGTGAAGGATAGCGTGCAAGTATGGACTAGCATTATGCAATCACCAGTGCAGTTGGAACGCTATTTCTTCAAGCATTTTGGCGACGTCTTGTAGCGTTTTGGCCCTACCGCCCGTTGAGAGATGGCGAGAAACCATGCGAGAAACCGGTGCTACGAAACCAACCACACAACAGCATCGATGGCACCACGCTAGGCCAATGACACGGTTGATACTCCACACTCCTGCTCCTCCACCAATATGAGAAATCATTGCATTTGACCTGCAGCCGAACGGTCTCGGTGTCGAGGCTACTCGACGGCGATTGTGTTTTCTGCCATGGCGCGACACCAAGTGTTCACGTGAGGGATAGAGTGTAATTATGGACTAGTATTATAGCATGATGCAAGTTTATCTCTTTTGGTGGTTGATATAGCGCAGCGAGAGGAGTGCGAGGAGGCGCCAGAGCAAGATGAAGCCAATGACCGCGAAAAAGTTGGTCCACCGGTCGTCGTAGTTCATCTCGTAGACCTTCTCGACATAGTCCTTGACGCGAATCTTCTTGGTGCCAAACTCGGCAAAGAGGCTCGGCGGAATGCCGTCCTCCGGCATGAACTTGCAACCGATCTGGGTACCGTCCGTGCACTTGGCGAACGTCTCGGCGACGAGGAGCGCGACCGAGTACTTGGGCGGTGTGATGTGGTAGAGCCAGCGGTAGCCGTTCGGGATCTGCGACGCGGGCGGGTTGTAGCCCATGAAGAGGAAGAAGATCGAGTTGAGGAGGACACCCATGAGCGCAGCAACGTCGACGCGGGGCATGCAGTACGACATGAGCTGACCAAAGTAGACGTTCATCAAGACGAGGAGCGAGAGGTTGAGGCCGTAAAAGAGGCACGCGCCGACCGACTCGTTCAAGCCAACAAACGGGTAAAAGATGATGGTGAAAGCAAACGTCGTGACGAGGCAGTACGGGATCTCGGCCAGCGTCGACCCGACAAAGTACCAGAGCGCGTTGTACGTCTGCGACGCGCGCTCGCGGTAGAACGACGCGCGTTCCTCCGAGGCGAGCGGCAGCACACTGTTGAACGAGATCAAACCGACGAAGAGCGACGTCATGAAGGTCATGCCGACGCCGCCGGTGGCGCCAATGTACGTCGCATAGTCGACACCGCGGTA